TATAACATAAATAGGAACAATCACTGTAAAGGTGTAAAGAAAATAGGTGGCGTGGTTAAGGATTGATCTAACCTGGCAATCTTCATAACAAGTTTGTATTGAGATGGAATTTTTTAAGTAAGTTGACACTAACCCCAGTGAGTTTTTCCACTTTATCGTCAGCTGCCTCCAGTTTTTCAATCGTTATGGCCAGCATCTTTTCTTGTTCCTGACGTCGCTCTCTCATATCTTCAACCGCCTGAAAGGGAACCTGTATCATTGTTTGGAAACCTTAATCACTTATTGATAATCTGGATCACTAATTGAAAGCCCGGATTACTAACGGAAAACTTAGATCACTAATTGAAGAACTGGATCACTAATTGAATACCTGGATCGCTAATTAAAAACGTGGATCACAAATTGAAAATCTAGATCACTAATTAAAAACGTGGATCACTAATTGGGAACCTAGATCACTAATTGGGAACCTAAAATCTAGATCACTACAATAATAATTAGATTTATGTGTCATACAGTAAGTGACCATATTAACATATTAACGCAGCAATATTTCATTATTTGGTCATTTTCAAGTTAGGTATGATAGGGTACCTGAATAGATCTTTTATTTCGTCTTTTTTATCTGCTTTTAAGCAGATTAGTCTAATAAATGTTATCCGTTTACTTTACAATATCCACGATTCTTTATCAGCCATATAATATATTAGACAGTCATATTTATCGCCTTGCCCGCAAGGTTCACAGTCACCAACGGCAACAGCACAATAATTTCCGTTCTCTACCGAATGGCTAAGAACTTTCCCGACCAGCAGGCAGCAGATCAATCAAAATAACAAATCCAATAATGATGGCAAAGATGAAGAGCCAGAGGAAGGGTACTAATGTCATCTGGGTAAAGCATTGGCAGCATTTAAAAAGATTACAGCATTTAAATACTGCTGGACGGTTCCTTGAATTGTCAAAAACGCCAGGGTTCAATCTTTCTCTTGATTTGATAATAGAAGCTTTTTTAATGTGATATGGACTATCCGTTACTGGGATACTGTTCTCGGAGCTGTCTTCGGAGCTCTCACAGATGTCAATGACTACTGACTCCACATTGCAGATGCTGACAGCTGATTTTCCGTAAAGAGGGGTGGACAACACATTTGATGACGGTAAGTCTCCTTTTATATTTCCTTTAATTCGCTTTTCTGCTTTTATAGGTGAATCTGATTCTGATTCGTCCGTGTCTACATTAGAAAAGTCAAAATAATCGGAAGTGTCAGAGCTCGAACTCGAAGTTGAATAGCTGCTGTAATCAGGGGAAGGAATGTCTACCTCAACAAGTTGGGTCAAAGATGTGTGGCATTTCTGGCACTGAAGAAGCGGAGCCACCTTCGTCAAATTAGGTTCACTGGAACTGTGGCTGTTTTGTTGAAAAGGATTTTGAGCTGTAGTGGCCGCATGTGATCCAGCGAAAAGCGAAGAGTTAGATTGACACGCATTGTCTATCTCCAGTGACGAAGCTGAAAAGGCCCTACTCAGTCTTTCGGTCTTTTTGACGAAGTCTGAACTACTGATAAGAGCATTTAGTGCCAGAGGAGCAAATTTCTCGATATCTTCAGCATAAAATGGGTTGCTCCTGCTGGAAGTCCCAGACATGTTAGAATCAATGCTCCCGTGGTGATAACGCTCAAACAAATTGGCCTCTTGTAAACTATCCAATATTTGACCAAGCCCAGTTGAAGGAACATACTTGAAATTTCTGATATTTTTTTGGTTTTGATCTTTGGTCTTCTGATCAAGTCCAGAAGCTGAAGATGGAAACGATGATTGTGCACCTGAAGAGCTGACAGTAGCATTGGCTGGACTTGTAACCATTTGGCTGCTTGAAAATGGTTTCTGAGGATCATTGCTTTGACATGTTCTCAAAATCACGGGAGATGAAATTGATGAGTTGTAACTGATTGGTCGTGCTGCTCTCCGTAATTGATCGAAGGATGTTGGAGGAGCACTCCTCAGCCGTTTAACGACCTCCCCTTTCCTCGTCCTCTCACTCTCAGGAATCATTGTGGCATTATTTTTATTGCTTTCGTTAATAGGAAGAGCCTTTTTTACCCCAGCCATCTTTTTTCGAGGCGGAGGTAAAGGGAGATCGGGTTTGGTTTTCTCACTCTTTTTCATGATACCCCCGAGATGAAAATGGCCAGAATGAGACTTTGATTTGGATGGAATTGAAGGAAGCCTGTTAGAAGATATGGATTTCAAATCCAAGGATTTGATTGGCATACCAACTTCTTCTGCAAACGAAACTTTTCGACTGGCACGAGCCAAGAAATCAGTACTATCCAAATGGCTTACCTCTGCAATGTTTTCCTCGTATTCACTAAACGGTGCTAACGGCATAATTGTATTCTTGGCAATAAAAACCGGTGTATTTATTTATAGCGAAACCAAACTGCAAAACAGAAGAAAACTCCTGCAGGTGAATCTGTGTGCCAGTGTGAACCGGTAATTACCAGCCAGGTATTGTGTGATATTTAGAGCTGTGTCCCGACTCAATTAACACGCCGAGAATTAATAGGCAAGCAGGACCGAGGCCTCATTTGTTGTATTCCAGGATAACACTTGTTTCACCAAAGTTTCTAGCTCTTGTTGAAAACAGCTTCTGATAACCTCAAACACCGAGGGTTTGTATGAAGCTGTATCAAACTCAACCGATTGCAAACCGAAACCAAAACGACTGAAGTAAACGACAGATAAACAAATTTTACTTAATATTAACGATGACGTATAACAATATTCCCAATAAAAAGAGAAAACCAATTGCCACGCAGACAGAGAAGCATTAGAAATATAAGTGCGGTTGCTAGGTAACCCAATGAGGTAACCATGACATTGTACATGGTTTAGTTTTAATTATGGTGGTTAGTTTACCTGGACCCTAGAAAGTGACGCTCCGAATAGTAATGTCAGATTTAATTGAAATAAATTTAAATGAATGTAGGCACATTAAACGGTTCTAACTGAGCCGCTTTTCCTAGAAAAAATAAAGTCATTGCTGAGGTGTGAATAATTGGGTAATTACTTTCAGCAGAAAAAACCTTTGAGTTTGTGGGGGGCGAATTAAATTTCGTACAAATTATGCATGAACACTGAGTTTAGGTGGTTATTTTTTACTCATAGTAGTAAAACAGTCTGGGTCATGTACCTCCTTATGACGCGGTTCTTAGAGAGAGAATTTTACGAATTACATAGAAACCTTATTTTGAAAGGAACTGGGTGGTAAAAGGGTCTGCACTACCAGGGTCTGCACTACCAATACCATTTCCTTAGTGGAAGTAAAAATAAGCTTCCCGAATATGACCCAATACAGCTTGAATTTGAATTGACAGCTTAAAATTAAATGTTGTGCAGTTGTTTACATTTTAATCAACTGTAAAACATTAAATTTTAAGATGTCAATTCAAATTTAAAATCCATTATGCGATATCGTCATAAGTGAAGAAACTGTGCTCCGACACAATATTGAACTTTAATTGAACTATCCGAAAATTGTTCTAGCTAAATTATACTCGCCAAGAATCCTGGCCAGGCGAAACTGTTAATTTGCCCTAGCCCTATCTTTAACCCAATTTAATCTAAACATAACCCTAATATACCCTATATAACCACAGCTGTGACCTTATGCCATAACCATGACTAGAATTCTATAAAATTTGGAAATCTACGTTACACTGGCACAAGTGGACTTGTGACCGAAACAGTTTTTAGCCCATAACTGACCAAACTCTTTTTACCCTATGTCATTTCAACCCTCATAGCTGCAATTTTATCTGTTTTAAAAACTAAAAGAACGACAACAGTGATTACCGAATGTGATGGTAAAGTTCCTGTGTGTGCCAGATAACTCTTCGATCTAATCATGACACGCTAATGTGCAATGGTTCTTTTAGTGCGAGCTGAATCCCCCAATTTTCCCAAGTCCTGGGCTGTTTTTACTCCGAGCAAGCTTAGACAAACAGACACAGTGAGACAGTGTTATCAGGACCCTCACGAGGGGCTCTCGTGATAGCTGTTATAGGTAGGTGTTGTTAAATCACGACACAAGTGGAGAATCGCGTTTTTAGCTTAATTTCGAAATGATCGCAGAGTACGAGTTGCAAAGCAATACAAAACAGGGCAAAATAATTACTTCCTAGAATAACTTCCCATCATTATAAACGGTGACGTATTGTGTCCTGTACGCCTCCGAACGATTTATCACAGGAAATTCAATTTATTTGCACGTGTTGGGCCCAAGATAATGATATGATTGAGTGATTGCTATTGACCTGCGTCCAGTCAGGACGATAGCTTATGACTGCAGCCTATTATAGTGATAGATTGTTGTCGAAAATAACCAAAAGTAGCTGTTTTTACTTTTCCAGATGGGACGGTATTTACGGTAAATAGTCTATCGTCTCTTCTGTACTGGGTCTAACTCTAGGCCGATGTCAAAGCGGTTCAGAAAACACTGAAATGAAGTAAAGCCTCACAAGATATGTTTCAGACCAGTTTAATTAAGCTTGCTCCCCCAACAACTCGTGAACGATGGACACTTTCTTACTCGTTCAGCGAACATTTCTTTCAACATTCTACTGTTTTATAATAATAATTCTACTCGAATGCCTGGGCCACAAACCTAATTGCTTGTCAAATGTCACGCCCAGGATAGGATTAGCTTACCTCACATTTAATTGATTAATTAGTATCCGACTCTAATGCTACAGACTGTTCTTAACTTTACTTATACATTGATATAGCATTGATATCATCCAGTATTCACATTTACTGATTAATCAACACTTCATACCGGATGTTGAGTGAACTTTTGTTTACATTGATAATTATATTCAGTGCTTCAAAATTAATGAGACCCATTGGACATGCTACCGTCTTTATTCAGCAGTTGGGCCTTTTGGAGAAGCTTGACGATGAACACGATAGAGAAGAAACTTAAACAAATTCTTTTTGAAATTGAACAAATTAATATTATTCATTATTTGCTCTACAGTTGCAATCACAAACATTAAAATTAGTGAAGTATTTATTAAGGTTAGATATCACCAAGGAAGAAGTTATTATTATCAAGGAAAAAATTGAATAACAATTGAAATCCTTGTATTCATATTTTCTGATTTATGGAACTGAGCAAAATTTTATACTTCTGAATTCAACAAAATGTACCCCAAACAAAAAACAGTTGCAAAATTTCTGGCTAAAAAGGTAAATCACATCAAGTTTATTAAACATAAAAAAGGTTCTGTCCAAATGAACAATATGATCATCTTACTATTTGAATACTATCTTACTTTCAATTTACTGACAACAACGCTAATTACAGAAATCAAAGAAAACCGCCAATAAAATGTAAATCTGTCCTTGTATCCTAGGAGAGTTGTTGGTAGAGTTGAGCAGCCCTCCCTTGGGAGACAACTGTTATGGGACAACTGAACCTATCCACTCCATTGAGGTAGTTACTCGCGTAACTCAAGCCGTTTTGTGATTCTCCTTTAGAAGCATCTGAAATTTTTTATGTCAAGCAAATGTGTATAGTCTGCATACCATCATGATTTCCATGAAGTCGATATAAGTTAAAATTATATCAGTATATTACGTCATCATTCAAATCGCTTGATGGTCAAATTTGCCATTTTGGTGATAAATAATCTCAAATGCCTATGAAATAAAAACACTGACCGTCTCCGACCCATACGTATAAATGAGTCCCTAGATCAACCAAGAACACATCATTAGGATCCAACATCCTCTGCTCGATCTCTCCCTCAGCAACTGTTTCCATCTTCAACTCTCCATCGGCATCACTGATCTGGGGAAGTTAGTGAGGAGTGAGGAGCCGGCTTGGTTAACGAGCGAGTCTACAATTAGGACCTTAGTGGTTTTGTGAATGAGTCTACAAGGACACACGACCCTAGTGGTTTTGTGAATGAGTCTACAAGGACACACGACCCTAGTGGTTTTGTGAATGAGTCTACAAGGACACACGACCCTAGTGGTTTTGTGAATGAGTCTACAAGGACACACGACCCTAGTGGTTTTGTGAATGAGTCTACAAGGACACACGACCCTAGTGGTTTTGTGAATGAGTCTACAAGGACACACGACCCTAGTGGTTTTGTGAATGAGTCTACAAGGACACACGACCCTAGTGGTTTGGTGAATGAGTCTACAACGACACACGACCCTAGTGGTTTTGTGAATGAGTCTACAAGGACACACGACCCTAGTAGTTTTGTGAATGATATCTTAATCTATTGAAGGCAATAATTCTTAAGTTGATGACGTGTAAACAGAAAAGGCTTTGGACACATATTAAGTATTAACGAAAGGCTGTTGGAAAAATTAAAAGCAACAATAAATGTTTAACTGTAAAATCAATCGTCATTGTCACTTACTCTTATAAGTTTTCTTGTGTTATCGTCGATAGGTTTCTGGCTTTCAAGTGAATCAGCGTCGCCATCTTTCAATATCTGAAAAAGAGGTTCTACATCAATAATATGGTCGTTGCGAAAGAATAAATATGAATTTGATCTACATTGTCAATTAAAATAAGTTATTCCAAAAAAGAATGCTGCAATTTTAAAATATTTTCAACAAACCTCCAAAACATCCCTATCCCTCAGCGGATCATCATCAATCACTTCAACTTTTGGTTTGCCATTCCTTTCTGCCCTTAGTTCTGACACGTAGTACATGGCTTTGACCTGAATTATTAAGTTCTGTTGTTAGGGAAATAAAGGAGACAAGAAATTTAAGATTTTGGACATGAAAAGCTAACGCTAACCCACCAAACCATACGTATCGTCGAAATATTAAATGCTATGACACAAATCAACATTTTATACGACTTACCTTTTCGTCCTTATCACATTTGGGACCATTGATCTGATAAATAGTTAGTCCAGCATCCAGTACGAAAACATCATCCTCGTTTAGATTCTGTCTGATTAATTCTAGCTCGTTAATAACGGTGTTTTCTACTGTGTCCCCTGTTGGATATCGAGATGTGAGATAGGTAGTCATTAAATATATGTGATCAGGAAACATAACAGTTCCAAAGGTGGTATCAAGTTGACCAAAGCTTTGAATATATGTGGAAATATTTATAGTTATAGCGCATGAGATATGAGAACAAATGAACTGGCTCCATTGCCGACCAATGGCGGCATTCTGCATTGTGCACGCCAGCGAAAAGCATTAATTCATTGCCAATGGCTTTACTTATAAACTTATGAAAATTAAGTGTCATACCGTGCAAGTATGCTTCTAAAATTACTCTTAAAATGGATTAGGCAATAATAAACCTCATCTAAATTGAATACCGTGGAAGATGAAGAGTCGAGGAGTATACTCTGTAGGTTTAACGTGTCTGAACCCGGAATCTGCTCCTCCCTTAAGGTATGTGATCCCTTCCTTGAAGTAACCTTTGAACAGCTTGGACTCGTGATATTGTACCTGGACAATTATTGCATATCATAGTACGAGAAGTATAAAGCAGTTTTGTGTACATAAGAACATAAATGGGAGACGTGAATCACACCTCATGGCCGCTGAGAAGTACAACATTTCACCTCTCGGCATTTTAACCCACAACATTCGAGTACTCTATGCCAAAACCTAACCCTTGCCAAAACCGTTAAAATTGGAATTACTACCCCAAAGTTGCAACCCTAAAACATAAACGGTTATAAACTCCCTGAAATGAAATTATTATGAAACCTCTCTATGTTGAATAGGTTTGTCACTGTGGAAGGTGTCCAGTTCTACAGTTTTGTAGGCAGCGGTTCCGTACTCGTCTTGAGTGGAATATTTTCCTATCCAGAAGTGAAGATCATACTCTAGAGCATCCTCATCTGGGATCCTGGCAAAGAGACGAGATTGAGAAAAACTAAATTAATGACCCAATAATCCACATGTATTCGGAGTAGATTTTTAGGAACTGGTTGTATTAAAACTTCCTTATTTTAGAGGCTTTTGGTGCCCCTCCCTAAAATTGAACAAATTAGGTGATTTTAGAGAATACGCCGGTAAAATCTCTAAAAAAGTGGGTATCTAGAGCAAAACGCGCAGTTTTGCTAGTACTTTAGTTAAGTTTTCGAAATTGTCCCACATTCAAACGACGATTTGGCGCCCCCCTAATACGGCGCCCCGTGTCTTACCGATTTCCAGCCTATTAGTATTAATACGAAAGTAAGTGACTTGTTGTTCAATCTCGAATAGTTGGTTTTGGTCCATACACTAGAATCTTAAAACCTGTTAAAGTCTCATCCTTTGTTTCTCATCCAATTTTGACAAATGTTATCCTTCGGATCTTCTGATTCTAGTTTTTTATTTTAAGCGTCTCGATAACTTGCAAGATTGAACACGGTGACTGGTGAGGGTATCGGAACAAAAAAGTTTCACATGAATAAAATGCCTACTTGTAAGTGTTGAGGATGATGTAAGAGTCACCTTCAAAGAACCGACCGTAGTCTGCTTTGGGCCATCGTTCCACCTGAAACTTAACTATCCTCCAGATTTCTAGTCCCACAACTTTACCTGAATTGTTTATTTCAAAGAAACAGAACCAATGCTAATAACTAACCGGCAAACTCGGAAACTGTTAATAATTTCAGGTGAAGACATCACTGACAATCTGACATGTAAAACAATATGGCAGCATGACTCATGAGGTTAGATTGCTTAGAGTTAAAGCAAATAGGCTATCTCCTGATTCCTGAACAACATTATTGATTATAGATTCTTAACGCAACAAGAATTAACCTGAGTTTTCCCAAGCAGGTTCGCTCTGAGCAGACTCTAATTTCACTTGTTTTTCAACATCAGAACCAAAGAGAGCCAAGTTGGAATCCTTCCAGTTGTACTCTGCCTGCTTTTTCAGACCAGCCATCTGAATATGTGAATATTTGTATCATACTCTGAATATTTGTATCATACTCTTGATAAACGCTCAATCTCAATCTTCGAATCACAATATCCGCCAAAATATGATGCATATTATCAAAGAAAACATTAGCTGATATATGAGCAATAACTGAAAACACAGTATCATACTAATGATCAAGAATTATCCGTGACAAAGTATTATAATTCAGAGACGAAAACTCGCTATTAAGCCATGTTTGGAGCGGTTGATAATATTGAATATGGGATAAAGTGTATAATTAAACCACTGTTTCAAAAACCAATTAATACTGCTTTGCACTAAAAGGGACGAGACTCGGAATTGCAATTAATCTAATCTTGTATCAAGCAAGCAACGTGGTGAGACATGAATGATCTTATAGAAACTGCAGCTTTATATTAAAATTGCGTACGTCAGTATGTGTTTCCATCGGTCGATTGAAAAATTGGTTGAAAAGTTTGTGAGATTATCATTAAGACGATCGAAATATAACATATGTGGCTGATAGAAATCTCTATTGTTTTCTAGCTTTGCTTCAAGGACGATCAAGAACTACAAAGCAATACATCGTTACACTGTGAACAATAAGATCTCATGGAAAATAAAAAAATTGATTTATATGTCTTAGATTTCCTATTTTCGAACACCTCTAAAGATTTGCTCTAAGTTTTTAGGGGATTAGGGGGCCAGATGTTAACTAAAGATATTATTGCTTAGCTAATCTGATGTCCTAACGATTTCAAATCATTCAAAGTTTAGGCTGCTCTACGTATTAAAGAATTGACGAACAAAACTTTTTTTTTGCCGTGTTGGTTATGAAAGAACCGTTAGCAAAACGAAACAACCGGGTGATAAAGTGAGTCATCAGAGAGAACAATCAATAAGCCAGCAGTTTGTGCAATGGCGAAGAGATAATGATCAAACAAAGCAATAAGATATTATATTAAAGCTTATCATTCCCTTAGTTAACATTTATTTGACATTTTCGCGCGCAACTCATTAGTCATGTTTTGGTGGGCCTAAACATGTTTGATATGTAATATCTTCATAGCATCAACCGTAGTAGTGGGCTTTATCGTGGTGCAATCTACTAATCCTCAATCCTGACTGCAATCGGGAGCAAACAATTTGTATAAAGGTCGAAGAGGCAAATTTGACAAAGAAGTTAAATATTAAGCGATGAAAAATTTAAAGATGGCGACATGCACCGAGAAAGTATATATCCTACAAAAGTGCTCGTTGGGTAAACCATGACACTTGGCAAGCTCATAACTGTACGGGTAATAATTCATATTATGGAGATAAATCTGCATGCAAAAGCTGTTATTCGTAAACTATTTTTTAAATTTTTGGTGTGTTCACTTTGCATCATAAATATCATGGATATTTCTTATTTATTCTTTATTCTTGGATTATTGAACTTGTGAATATAATTGTTCAGGATGTTACAGAAGGATAACGTTTCCCAACCGCGAATGAATATGTACGTGGGACTATCTCTGGTAATTTCCAACGTTAAGGGGCAGGAGGTTCTTATATATGATCTGTTGTCACGTGACACATAAACTATAAACTTATTAAATCTGTACAGAGTTTAAACAAGCCACATCAAACGAATATACACAAATGAATAATGAGGTCCCGAGTCGGAGAAACGTTCAAGCCAGCGAAAATAAATCAAAATACGAATAATCGCCATAGCAACTCATAGTTTCTGAAGTGTTAAATGAAAAGAGAACTACGGAACACTGTCATATAGCTGGTAACCAAGACAATTTAACAATTGTTCAACATAGAATAATGAAGTCCTCTTCTCCATACTAAATACTCCACGAGTATTGAGTATTCCACAGTTCAAAGCAGTGAAACATGACGTAATTACAGTGCACCAGCTCACAATTCTTCAGAGAGTACACTGAACAGTGAACAGTGTGATGCACCTTCTCATTTCATGGAGCAACAGTAAATAGTGATGTGGAAACAATTGACGTGAACAATCGATCGTAACTGCTCGATGTTGAGAAATTAAGAATTACGAAAACACAGCATAGTGGAGGTTCAAATCATGAATAAACATATGAAGATTAAGTGAGAAACGAAAGCATATCCGCAACGAAGTGTTGTGGTTCGACTAGCTGTTGATTAAACAATTCAGATTGGTTAATGCGTTTAGCTGAGATTGTTGACTTCAAGATCGTACGTGTTTTATAGCCATATTCGTTATAAACTCTACCAACGTCTTACATTTAAGATACAACTCCAATGAATCTATAATTGTTTTATAGCGAATATATCAGATCGAGAATTTTTTAAACCAACCAATATCATAATATTAATATAACCAAACCTCAGCAACTGTGGTGATTTGGTCACCACATTTACAGCAATTATCTTGCTAACAAACCGATGCCTCTAATATTATGAGGAATTAGATTTGGGGAACCGGTGTGCAGTTTTTAAGGACCTGGTTCCTGCAACTTAGCACCAGAGAAGAGGGGACACCTGGGCCCAGAGGACCTGGGCCCTGGACCCCCTGTAGTACATTATAGGTCAGGATATAAATAAATAAATATGGCCAGGTGTGCTCGCACATACAAATGAGCAGCAGTACTTTATAACTGTAGAGAGTAATGGTTATTACAGTGTAGCATGATTCTGATACAGAGTGGTTTATTAACATTAGCTCGCTCACAACACCTCAGTAGCAAATGCAATTAAAACTGGTCACTATTACTAATCCTCGACTCCCGGTTCTCACGCAGGAAGCACAAAAGTTTTGACTGGCAAAAACTCATCTGATTCGGCTGAATGAGCACTAACTGACCGGGATGGAAAGTAGAATTTGATGCGGTGTGGATATAACAAACACTACAGATCACTACTGGTAATGCACGGCAAGCTTTACTGTGTAGGATACAATAACAATGCACTCTTGCTGTCCGGAAATGTCAGTGTAACGGTGCTTTTGTTACTTTGTGCTATTTTGACAGGTCCAATGGTGTGACGACTACATTATCAGGTGCTAGACTCATTCTTTATCTTATAGCGCAGGATTGATATCGATAACATTAAGTAATTGCTCAAAATAACAATTACATTGGGTTAGGTGCTATGTAATTGTGAAAAAATGGGCTTTGAGACGATTTTGCAAGAAGTAGCTTAAATGTAAGACTCAACAAGCATTCCTAAATCGATTGCATCTAATTTGCTCCTTCATAAAATAGAACAATTATATTTTCAAATTTGGAGTTTTGTAACACCCTGTAAGTTAATCTTAATTTTTTATGAAATACTCTATGCTTCTATGGGAGAATGAGATCAACATACTTTATCAACATTGGTGCAAGGGGAGGAAGACGAAAAATAAGAAACTGCTAACGATAACATGATCATATCTACAAAACAGCTCTGTATCAACTTGCTGACAGAGGAGATTGGGAGTCTATGATTATAAAGATGATAATATCTTTATCTATAAATAACTTCTCGCGCTCATTGTATCCTTCCATATAGAAATTTATAGGCAGTATACAGAGTATGATCATTGTCGAAAGCTGCCAACCATCACTTACGAGAATTATTGTCCAATGCAATAATAATGTTTTGAGATAACCGCAGTTTACTTAAACTGGCATGGTATCGTAATATAAGTTTATGTACTTATAACTTTCATAATTTGACTTACTGGGCGGCACTCAGCCTGTTATTCCGCCAAATCTCTATTCTCATATGAATATGAACATAAATATAATAGCCTGGGGTCCCCAGGTAAAATTTTACCAAATATAAAATATAAAATGGTGATAGAAATAAAAAGCTACACAGTATGCTGCTTTTTTATTCTGGTCAGGATTGAGGACACGGCAGCTAATATGACCATGAGCCATTAGCAAATAAATGTGATCAGAATATTGGTTCAGACTGTCACAAAGTGAACATACTATACTACAACTACTGCAGGCGACCACATTGGAGTTTAACAATATACTTACATACGGCGAATACATAAGAGAGATAAATGAGATATGAGTAGGCGACGAACATGCATTCATCCAGCAATTGTATCACAGTGCAAGAGCCTCTTGCTTGTTATTAAAAAATGTTTCGTCACGAAAATACCGTGTATTTTAATACATGGTTCGACATAAATACCATGTATTTTGGGGCAGTCGAACAATGTAAAAGGAACCCAAAAAGCACTGCACTGCGATTAACTCAAACTTGTTATATAATACGCGATAAGCTTAAGTACGTTATAAACGATAAAAATTAACTTTAATTAACTTTAATGCTTTTAACATAATACTTTTAACATAATACTTTTAATTAAGTTTAATAACACATCTGAAGTTGGAGATAAAGTTTTTATGAGCGAGCTTCGAAATTAACAATTTTCTCCATCGTACAATCCTTCTAGAACTTGAAAATTTCGACAACACCAAAATAGGATAACACTCATTACATAGTGATTGTAGAATGAAATGGTAACAAAAATTGAGGTGAACAACAAACAAAATGTACTGTAGACACGTTTTACACTTTGTTAATGAGCTAACTTATTTGGGTTACACGTCTTGTTACTGTGATGACGTACACTTTTACAGTTTACTAGATATCAAGATGTATTTAACGTTAACAATTCATTATGATGAAGGATATGCGACGAGATACCAGCGGGATTTATATTTACTTCTGTGTTTGACATTTTAACGTTTGAGATATGTTAGAAACTAAAAACCTTGATCATTGTTCAATGGTTTTATTTAAGAATTCAGATATTGAGTCACTAATAGACCGGTAACGATGCTAGCAACTAATTCAGAATATAAAAAATCCAATATTTTATAGTTAAGTAGTTATACTATCGAACCACCACCAGTGCCTTTATAGATATAGGTTCAAAAATCGATGTCACGACTTTCTGGAAACATCACCTTACTACCAGGTTATCTGTTGAGCAGAGCTGTCGAGCAAAAAACAATAACAGACTAATGAGGCATGGGGGTCGGCCGAGGTGGGAGGGGTTTTAGTGGCCCACGAAATACAAATACCAATCATACCTTACCTGGACGTTTCGCCGGACACTAACGTCATGACAAAATAATAGTGCACCTCTCGCGTGATGCATCTTTCATCAATGAGATATTACAGTTCTAGTTGTCATTTTACCTTTTCACTCATACTGGATCTCCGTTCTAATAAAGAAAATGACAAAGTTATGAAAATGTGACGTTATGTTTATTTGTAGGCACAGTTGCAACTTATACTGACTGACTCTTTCAAGTCAAAACCTCCTCGTTTATAAGAATATAGTGAGAATATATATCATAGGGAACAATTTATCCTAAGGTTGATTAGACTATAGAAACAGTTCAGAAAATTTCAATATTTGGTTCTAGGGAAAGATCAGAAAAAAGCAAGGAGATGGTCAAAATATCAATAAGGCCAGGATAAGCGGTAAAAATCAAAATGGAAAAATCGGAACAAGGCTAGGATAAGATCAGATCACGTTCCAATTTCCAGGTGCTCGGTTGATTTTTAAGTTTTTATTACCTGGGGACCTTCGGCTTAGTGTTCACAATAAACACAATTGATTGAAGATATGGCGGAATGACAGGCTGAGCGCCGGCCAGTAAAGTTTATAATACTTCTTACTGCAGATCAGAGACATACCTGAGATAATCAACAGAATGCTTAAACATTTTTTCTATAATGGCGATAAATCACGATGCATATTGCATAGTCATATAACAATAACACAATTGTATACCATTGATGTTTCTTTTGTTCAAATTTCTGATTGTTTCTGAATAGACTCGGTGAAGACAGATTCTACAGAAATAAATAAATTTAAATTCCATAAGAACCTGTCTTAAATGAGTCTATTCAGAAACAATCCGAAATTTGAATGAAAGAAAATCAAATCATGAGACTCAAGAACACTACACGAATCCACTAGTGTATACCATTGACATTGCCACATTATTCAGGCGTTATTCAATCCATTGTTGAGCTAAAACAATACATAAGGCAGGTATGAAGTACTACTAATAATATAAATTGCACAACATGAACCACCATTAATATTACCTGTCAATCTTTCATTACATCCAAAGTCAATTAAATTATTCACCAAGACTCTCCTCAAAGTACGAACTAACGCAAAATTTGTATTACAAAAAATGTTTATTACTTCTAGTTCTACTACTATACAGGCTGAAAAATGGGCGGAGTGACTTTAATAAAAAGCAATCACAGAATGGCTTTCGATCTTTATTCATATTAAAGCATAAAAGGATTGAAATGTTGGCCTGGAGGACGGGAGCTACACTTACAGATATTCAGTGAAGAAGAAGACCCATAAATCCAAACGATTCTAATTAATCATTTGATCCTAATTTATAGCTGTCCAAATATTTTTTGACGATTTCATTTTCAAAATGCTGGTTTCAAAGCTTTAATTTTAGAAATTATCTAAAAATTCTTCATATCATAGCTTATAATCCTGGTCAATTTCAAAATATGCTTAAATATAAAAGCTTTTTTTTGCCTATATCAAGTGTAAATATGCTGCACTTTGCCAGTTGGTATTTTTGATCATATTCCACTTGATGTCGTTGTATTAATCAAAGCTTTCCGTTCACATCTTTAACAGTTAGGCTTTTCGCACGCGGTTAAATTGGAACACAATACATCTCCATTCCTTCTTTTACTTTCATCGACTTTTCGATAGAGCTTATGTTAGTTGTAACATTAATAGGACGGAAATTAAATAAAAATTCCTCCAGCGACCGGGGATCACAGTCAATCACTGGTGCAAAAATAATGAGTGAGACAGAAAACACAGGAGAGAAAGCGTTATACTTTTATAGTGTTACACATTCAGAAAAGGAGTAACAGATTCGAGAAAAAAGCACGGAAACCGCTTGATGCTCACATTTCAGAATTACTCTAAAACAGATTGTTGCCTTGCTGGTAAAGGAACCACATACCTGGTACTCACCGCCTGAAACTGTATTGAGTAAGTTTAAGGAATGTGTTTCTGCGTTTTGTTCCACGTAGTTATATATTAATCGTACTCGTAACACACTATCCTGGCAAAGCAGTTTACACGAGGAGAAGATGGTCAATGTTCATGAGAATAACATTGATAAACCTGCACTTATTTGACATGTGATTTATTTATTCCGGTATTTTTGTAGTTCACACTTCTTTACCAGCGATAGACTTGTATTTGAACTAACAAAGAATAACACGACGTTTAAGCAAAAGTACCTCAATTTCCGGTAATCTACAACAAAACAATGTTTAATAACTTAACAAAAATAACTTAAAAGAAATAACAATATTTGCAGCCCGAACTTTTATTTAATTACCATTTTGAAAGCGTAAACGTATTGATATTTAATTGTGTATAATTATAATTTAATTGTGTATTACTGAAATATTAATTTGATTTCAATGCTTCCACTTCTATGACTGTAATAAGATATCAAAAAGAAGCCTATAAGAATCTTGAAGTTCTACAGGGGGGAGCCAAGTGGATATTTGTAGATATTTGTAGATTAATGTAGAATGGATAATCCACGAAAAAACTGGATGACATTCTACAAATTTATACATTTATCTCCAAAAATTCAGTAGAATTTCTGGGCACATATTTGGGATTACATTTTTTGTAGATAAATGTAGATATTTGTAGATTATTGTCAATGGATAATTCACGAAAATTCTACAAATTCTACAAATTTATCTCCAAAAATTCAGTAGAATTTCTGGGCACATATTTGAGATATACATTTTTTGTAGATAAATGTAGATATTTGTAGATTATTGTAATGGATAATTCACGAAAAAAGTGGATGACATTATCCAAATATCTACAAATATCCACTTGGCTCCCCCCCTCTACAGCCCCTTTTGAAATTCTACAGACTTAAAGAATTTTCGATCAAATCACAAAATAGTCCTTTGATTTTAAGGGACTCCGATCTCGACTCAGATTTTAGGTTACTCAAAGTTGTACATTGAGTCTGAAACATTTCACCAGTATGTAACACTCGCTCCAATCTACAAAGTGGTCAGAGATATGGGAATCTTATCGTCTAACGTCCACTCGAAACTGCTGACGGCGACTAGACAGGAATCATCCTCCACATCTGACGGTCTCTCGTAGAGTGGCTTGTTAATACCCTGTATGCTGAGGAGTTGCAGTTCCGCGTCCGTCACACCCATTTCCTGAGGGGAGGGAATTAGGATCACTGCAGTTTAAAAAAATAAAAAACCAGTGTAATAAACCAATCGATGATCAGAACGAACATAAACTTACTCGAAAAAAACTTAATCGAAAATCAAAGACTTTTGGCTGACAAAAATTAGGAAAAATCAGTTTCCTAAAATTAACCTCGTCAGAATCGTCAGTAAATTCGTCCTCCCCCTCTTCGCTGCCACTGTCATCCTCTTCTCCTTCGTCTTTTTCATCCACGTCTTCTATAGCTAACCTCTGATCCTCCATTGGGGGTGGTGTTATCAACAGAGAGGTTCGGTTACCAAACGTCGTCCCTTTCTTCACGCAATCCATATAGTGCTGTCTGAAATATGTGTTCGGTGGTTAACATTTGAACAGTAAAACAATAATTATGTTGATTGAGTGATTAGTTTACTGAAATAGCACTGTCTCAATTCTCAGGCGCGAGTGCTAAATCCGATACAAATAGGTTGTTTTGAATTTTCCAATCTCATCGAAATGTGAAATTTTAATTTCAAACCAACGCACGAATCAGACTTGGATATTACTTGATATTACTATTTTATTACTCGCTCCCAGCTGGTGACGAGAGGTAAATTATAACTTGAGTAAAATGGCTGGAGTATATGATAATTTGGGCAGACTCTTCATAATGTTATGGCAATTCTATGATCATCATGTTATACTCTTTACAGCCTTCGAGTACACGCGCATTTGCAGTTCAGCTTTTAGAATTAGATGAAACTCGTTTTAATTTTTTTTCTCAAGAACATTCGATATATCGTTAATTGGTCAAATTACTCTTTAATCAAACCAGTCGGTCACTAAATTAAAATACATTATAAAACTGACGAGGGTAGAGTTTTCCAATATGTTGCAAACAAAATGTAACCTTGAGTCGCACATGTAAATGATATGTATGTTGTACAATCTTAATGTATATGCTGTGAATGAACCCTTGGTGTGAAAGTTACGTCATTTGAATTAACCATCATATCATCGGCGGACTTTTCAAAAGATTAATAGTTCTTGGTAACTTTTGTACTGACTTTTGGTATGATTAGATGATAAACACTTCATGTAACAGTGATACATGTAACATGAGAGCATAAACCAGGGAATATTGTCCATTCTTTACTGTCTACTAAATTTCCTACCCTCATAACGAAGCGACTAGCGAGACTTTTTGAAAACTATGTCAGCCTATACTATAAAACCAGTCGCAAAATTTGAAGGAATAAAATCCTCGTCCTATTTTTTATGTCTGATTTAATGATTCAGAGGACGCATTAATTCTTGAGCTGAAGTCAAATTTTGATGTGGCCACTTAGAACACATATAAATATTCAGACAAACATTTTCAAGCATTCGCCATTCATTAAAATTAAATCATTGATTTATAGCTTGGCGCTATCTTTCTAAGTTTCTATAACGGGAGATGCTATGCCGAATTTTTACTCCATTAATCACTGAGGTGTGTACTTTTATAGCTTTACTGTATTGATTCCAAGTGGTTGATTAGACATCATAAATCATTCATCAACCATACTATACCGTTCATATCGCATGATAAACAATATGGTTCTTAAAATGTTAAACCACGAAAAGAATTAGATAGAATTGAAATTATGAAAAGGTAATTGTGCATGTTTTTTGTTTTGAAAGTGCTTATTGCCACAATTTAACCGATATTCTGATCATGCTAGTTTTTAGATAACATATTAGACCTTCACACTGCAGGAGAAAAGGTACTCTCTGTAAAGTGATGGTTAAGGCGCCTGGCTGATCGAGGCGATTTATTGCAACTTTCTCTTTTGTCTTGCAGGTAAAATCAAACCTTTAGTCGCACTCGCACGCAGTACGACGCATATAGTGTACGAAGTGCATATTGTAAAAGTGGAGAAAAATCACATGTTATGCGGTACACCCTGTATATGCACGATCATCATTCATCATATCAGCCGACATAAATCAGCTATGCCTTTAGCGTTCATTTTACATTCCGCTTTGTTCCTTTGGTCAGTATTATTAAAGTACCACTTTAAGTTTAACTGATTATCGTCCATGTTGAGAAAATAGATGTTGGAGTTTTAGTTATTGTTGCACGCAGGAAAGCTTCAAATTTAAAACAGTTGAAATCTTTTAACTAATTATCTAGTTGTCCTTTTGGCTATTTTAGTACCTGGCAAGTATTTAGATTTAATCTTTTATCTTATCTGTTGCCTTTTCGCGGTAATCAGAAACTATAAGTCTCCTGATACCTCATTTAATGGACAAGCAGTGCGGCAGTTATTCTTATCTGGTCGTCAATAGCCATGGCAGGTATTATAGTAAAGTAGTAAGCAAGATAGCAATGATAGCAATAGCAATAGTAGTCATGGTATTGGTAGTTAGTTGTCCGTGGAATTCGGCAAATTACATCTATCTACACTATTGAATTAGAGAAGGCGACTTCAAGAACCTTAATTCTATATGAGGACCATTTACGAACGCGGGTGTTCTTTAAATATGACAAGATAAAATCGGAAGATGGTTCATTGATATACAATTATTTGCTTCGGTAGCATTGTGCTCAGACTCAAATTAATAAATTATAGAAGTCAAAACATGATAAATAGCTGCGTGGCTCAGTTGGTAAATCTTCCTGCTTGTTAATCGCGAGGTACCAGGTTCGATTCCAGCTGAGCTACCAGCCATAGGGTGAGCTACTTTTAGATTATCAAAAAATCTAAAAGTAATCATTAGTCGAAAATTGGGAACAGTTTTTCATCTGCATGAACGTTTCTTGGAAAATTATCCCAGCTCTATGCTTCGGCAATGGTACTTTTGTGGCTAAAGACACGATTTTCAAAGACAATAATTACGGCAAAAAGGAGAGCAAATTGTCGATTACGATTTTTCAAGTCGAGTCTCGGAAAATTAACTCGCTTAGTTTCTCACCTCACTCCTAGAATTGTGCTCTGCAGGAGATTATTTTCTCAGCACTGAAAAAAAAATGTTCAATTTTTCAACTCTTGGACTAACCAATATTTGTAATTGTATTCGAATTGGTTTTAAAGAGTATAGTCTTGAAACGATCATCATAAGCATTTGCATTTTTCAGTGGACACATGTGACATGACTCGGATGTTCGTTTACCATTCTTAAATTTTAATTTATTTGGTAAATCTGTGGAAGTTTGTACTGCAAAAGTTCAAATGTCTGCTTTTCGTTCAAGTGCATGTGTTGTTTAATCAATTCGCAGTTATAATCCGTTACCGATTTAATATGTATTTGCGATCTATATTAATCCCCCTGATATAGGCGAGTTTGGGCCCAAGCTCATCAATATCAATATTTATCTAAAATTGATATATTATATCAATTGGGGTTTATTATGGCTTCTAAAGTTCTAAGATACCGTATCTTAGTACTATATATAAAGCGAGACGATATAGGTCGTCGAAAAGTGTTTCGATAATTTAACAAAATTAGCAGAAAAATGTTTTAAAATTTATAAAAAAATCCCGGTTCGGTCCCGGTGAAAATTCTGCATTTTAGCCGGGACCGGGACCAGGATTAAGCCGGGATCCCGGACGAACCTTGAACACAGGCCAGTGTATTGATAAACTGTTGAACCCTATTAGATCTGATCTCTGCGAATGATGCGTTTCTTAATATTTGCGTTTCTTTATCTTCTGTTTAGGCTCATTGCTCTTAGTATAATAACAAATATATGATCTACAACCGCATGGTGCATGACGGAACAGGTTTAAACATTTTGTAACGAGGAAAAGTCGATCAACTTGATATTATCAGTTGCGATCATGGCCACAACTCTCTATAAGTCATATCTTACTATATAGTATATATGAAGCGAGACGATATCTGAAACTATGGTTGGTGTAGCTAGTTGGGATAGTAAAGGAATTCTAGTTCCTACAAGTTGGGAATGAGGTTCACAGATCACCCTCTAAACCTACAAGGAAATATTTCCTGTAGATCCTTGATATATAAGCAACATTTGACAGAGGCATCTTGTGGAGTGAGTTATGTGCCCATCTTTGGCTAACTCGGTGAATGTCCTTGCTGTACGGCAGTGTTTAACAAGGAACTGAAACAGAGGGGTTCCGTTCAGGCCTTTCGCACTTTGTTTCTGTCTGGTTCTAATATACCGTTTAAAATATAATATATATGTTTATATATCCGTACCATTTTAGCTGAGCTACCAGCCATGGAGTGAGCGTCGTTGACGCTCAGCTAAGGATTACGTGTGATCTATGCAGCCCCCCGGTACACTCAGCCGAATACCCGAGAAATCAAGTGTGAGGGTTGATTAATGAGGAGATGCCCATTGCAGTAAAGTCTCGGGCGAAGAAAGTATGGTATTGGTACACACTACCTTATTAAGTGACCTTAACCGTCACGGCGTCACTGGCCTAATGTATAATTGAATCCTTTGGCTTCCTATAATATTAATTGGCTGGTTACACTTGTGTAACAATGTGGCTGTTGTAATGTCCGAAGTAAAATAAAGTGTGAGATAAAAAATAAATAAATAAATATGAAATTGTAGAAGATTGGGAATAACGCACCAGATGGCTTGACTTTTTAATCGAGGATCATTATGATACGACGAAGCTACGAATTTTAAAAAGAAGTGATGCAGAACAAGTACAACACAGGTGCATGATAGTTCCGTTAGTTCCCCTCATCTTATACAACAATTTTCATTTTGTAGATCTGTAAATGATCACTGTATTCTGACTCACTACTCAGAAACAACATTTAGTAAAATTTAACAAAAGTTACCAATCTTACATTTTTTAGTCCTTGTCTACCGTCTGATTTTACGATTTACAGATCACAAAATTTGGTGTCGTGATGTAGATACTTTGTACGTGAATAATGATATTTAATCTTGATCCATTTTTAGCGATGCAAACAGTATGATAAGGTAAAAGTAATGGAGGGATGATTATACAGAATCTACTAGTTCTTGTTCTTGGTGCCTATTTTCAACAAGGTATTTTAATTTCATAGTGATGAGTTTATTAATGTTAAGTAGATTTATATAGCCAGAAATATAATTGGTCGCACTAACCTTAAGCCTAAAAAGAGGCTATTAAATGAAACGTTAAATGAAACGTTCTACTTCTCGACAATCGACAGAAACTATCAACACTTCCAGGTCAAAGTCAAGGCATCAAACTTGAATCTCAACAGAGGATATGTGGCATTCTTCGACACATAAAAACTAACAAATGTGTAAGGGTAATTGAAGAAAAGCTCACCTTAACACCCACCAATTGTGATTCAGTGCACCAACAAAACATCTTCTGCTACAACACTGCGTCACGGCTAATAAGTAACATAGACGTAAAGCACACCGAGAGGTACGTAGGAGTGGGAGAAGATGACGTCACTCTGGGTATAGGCGGAGAAGAGGGTACTGAGTGGCGTTTGAAAGATGATGGATCTATTCAGATTGCCAGCGGTTCGGAGGTTCTGTGTTGGACTCCAATGTCAGATGGCGACGGAATTATATTGAATGACAAATGCAAGGAAGAGAATAACTTGTTCGATTTACAGCTTCAAAAGTCAGGTAAATATCGCCCAGCAATGTTATGATTCTCAGATCATGCATGACGGTTGATCCAAGTTTATGTTTAATTATGTGGTCTTGCGTGAACTAGTGCAATCTGCACTCTGCAAGAGGCCGAGGGCAGCATAATGTGAAGATTTGCCACTGATTTAAAGATTGCTGACTTACATTGACATCTTTTATTCTTTTATTAGCTTTCTAATTAATATTTATTCTCAGGAGTAGAACCAATCTTCAAAACAAGAAAGAATTTTCCTTTAAGAATCAGTGTCAAACAGATTAAGAAGCTGAATAACACTTGGTCAAAACCGTATCGATTTCACGTTAATTTGAATTTGTTCTCGAAAAATTCCGACGATAGTTTGGGTATTCTAAAGCTACAAGGAAGATATCTCAAAAGCAACTCAGAAAGGTACAGGAAACTACCTCAGTTTTTCCGCCGAAGACCATACTTAAAATTTGCCTTCTTTTTGGCTTCACCACCCGAGGAATAATCCATCTTAATTTTTCATTCCATTCCGGGATCAAAACTGTTAAATTAAGACGTTTTCCAATTTCAGTGATGCCTCGTTAATTCTGGTTAAATGGAATGAAAATAGCTCATCAAGATGCACATCTAACCAAGAGAGTGTTACGGGTTTCTTCCGAGTCAAAGTAGAAATATGGATTGATTCAGCAGGAAACTTGAAAGTAACCTGGAACGGCACTGACGTGGAGTGGCCTTGTCAAGTGGAACCAGTTTGGTCTGACGTGACTGAAGCAAAGGTTACCCTGGTTAACCAGATTCAACAGCAAGATATTAATGCATTCAATCCACCCGAGAAACTCTTTGACATTAGTTATAGTAACAGACGAATTCCAGCAGGTGATACAAATTAGCTCTATACGTTTTTCCACATCATGAAATACGAAGATGTTTATATTTATAAACATCTTCGTATTCCAAAAATTATTGACAAAAAATGTCGTAAAATATTGGGACTATTTTACGACATGTCATGTTACCTTTTAGATAACTGTATTATCATTTAACATCGAAGGTCTTTATTTATATCAGGGCTATTGGTCATTTTATAATTAACCCTCCCTGGTTTTCTTCTTTCGAGAATCACAGAGTTTAAGGGGAAAATGCGGGAGTAAATGGAGCAATGACCGCCCAGGTGTCAGGTAGGTATTATTGAGTTCAAGTTACTACTAATCAAGGATCATGACAATTACGACTACTCTTCTGATTTGATCTTCTCCACATAACGTTAATAATTCCATGGTAACTCACAACTCACAACGAAGTACAGAATCTGACAGTAGTAATTGTCAGGGCGTCTGATTCAGTGAGTAATTGCGAGAACGCACGGAATATCACACTTTCAGGATCTACCAAGCCAGCTGGCGACAAAGCCAAATTATTAACCAATAGTTGTGTTTCTGGGTTTACCACGTTCTTATTAACTTGTAGTGGTGTTGCTGATATCAACACATAGGTTCTTAGTTCTTCATTTTACCGTCAATAAGTAGAATTAGGTAAATTAGTAGCAATATTAGTTTTAGAAAAGTTGAAATTTTGTTTGTTTGTCCCAAGTTTTCTTTAGCTTTATCTATATCAGTATATCCTTAGCAGCACTATATTAGCAGTATATTAGCAGTATATTAGCACTATATTAGCAGCACTTGGCAGGAATATCTAAGGTTCCTTGTGATGAGGTGTCGATACTATCTTCTCCTAGTCGTCCTGACTCCAACATCAAGACAACTGCTACCTCAGACCGAAGGTATGAAAATAATGTGAAGCAAATCTTATACCCAAATATTTAAAACGATATCGCTGTTTCCACCAGATCGCTAAATATCGCATTTGTAACCTCCTCCCTGTATTTCAGATAGTTCAGAAACTCTACTGTGGACACAGTTTAACAAGGACGAATCAGCTGAGTACTATCTTGGCAATGACGTGGTACAGGAACGCTACTTCGTGAAACAGCACTGTGTTCAGGACTCCCAATATTCTCTCTACCTCTACAACTCCGCCAATGTGGTATTTTTATCATCAGGGATTTGAAGTCATAACTTGTTCTTTGCATAAAAAGGGAAAAGCATCTGTTTTTAAGACTTTTTCCTGCATTGTGATTAATTGATTAATTAACCAGGTGACTGGTGAAGTGCGAGTGGAGGTTTTGTTAGGGAGTGACGAGGTAAACGGAGCGATCATGTGTAGGAAAACGGGTGCAAGTTTAGATAGTGATCCGGAGAATTTTACGTGGAGTTATTTTGATTTGGAGAGCATCGGTTGCGCGGTGGGATTAGAGATTATCCTGACGTAAGTAAAATACTTGGTTGGGGAAAATAGTATCTTAAACTGCTAGCACCGTCCAATTAATATAAATTTACATGGGCAATGAATTGAAGTTGCATGTCCGTGAATACGAAAACACAGTAATCTTATCTTAGGGTCGAGAAATCTAGAAAAAGTTTCACGATAAAGATCCAGAACTCACGAAACTATTGGAAAAAGTTCGTGACAGCCGGTGAGGGAGGGTGTCTTCAACAAACAGAGGTTGTCCTTGCACGTGCAACAAAACCCACCCTACAAGACTTGTCTCTTGCCGTTTCTGAACAAGGTACGTTCATTGTATATTTTTCTTACATTATAACGTCGGATCGGCAAGCAAAACAGATCACATAGTCAAAATAATGAACTAAAATTTCTACCATCTTGAGTTTAAGGGTTGGATATTTGTTTGAGATATTTTAGATTTAACGACCCCTTCAATTCCAGAGGGGTGTTATGGACTAGACCCCAGTTGGACAGACATAGCCACGACCACGGAGTTTCCTGTCGTCTCTAACACCACGATAACTGTATCCTGTCACTCCGGACTTTTTAACATTGGTCATTCTCCGGTGTGTATCAAGGGTACGGAGTTTAGAGGTTCTCCTTCGTGCAGAAAATTTAGTGAGTCAAACATTTGTATCACAAGTTTGCGCTGCACTTAGATAAATCTTTTTCGTTAGACCTATTTCCCTATTGTATGATAATTCTTTCTCCAAAACTCCACGGTAAATCGGGATTTTACTGCAGTCAGTTGTCAGAATATTTTACGTTAATTTTTTAGTTCTTAATCACCTCACAAATTATTGGGACCTATTTGTGACGCGTGAGACATGTTAAAAGAACTATTTGATTGGTTTATATTAGCTTTGTGACAAAAGAGATCCATACTCTGACCTAATGGTTCATCGTACCACACCTTCTACATAAAACATGGAAGTTGCCAGTGAGTAGGTAACTCAATGTATTTTCACATTTAACACCTCTATAATACAGGCGCCTTCTTTTCTCAGGAAACTTGCTTTACTGTGCGGTCATTACTGTAACTAACTGAGTAAGTTAATCTCAAATCAAAAACTTTCATCAAAGTTCAGCATGTAATCATGAATGCTAATTTTCAAAAGTTCTTAATTTGAGCTTTGTTTCAACAGATATGAGTCAAACTCCTGTGTTGCTGTTATATTTTCCAGGTTTGATAACCCGCTCTAACTAAAGTTACGCAGCTATGAAGCCGAATCTCTAAAATATAGATAGTAACTGTACAATAAATCTTCCAATATTGTTTCTGTAAGATGAGCTCCCCTTCAGAGTTAGTAAAATTGTATTCATTGCGGGTGGTGTCAACATTTACTCAATCATTCCAGTCTGTGCCATCGTAATAAGAATACGAATTATGAACTAACTCTCGCTCAGACCGAATATGTAAATGATATTAAATATTTAATGAACTATCATGAAATTAGGAACGTATTTGCTCAATAAAACGATAATTTATTTCAGAAAACCGACCTGGATCGTTTTATGTCCATCATTCGCTCATCGTACATATCTGTCAACATGAAGATGTTATCTGTTTCCAACTTTTCAACCTCCTTCCACAGCCTGCGGTAGGAAGGCTGGATATTCATTAATTCTTTTAAACAATAATGATTTTTAATTTATTGATTTGTCCAAAATTCTTATGTTTGAGAAAGTAGAAACCTTAAATTTGAGATATTATCGTAACCATTGGGAACCATTTTAAACTATTGTATTTTCAGGTTGGTGTCTTCTGCAAAAGACCATACAATTTAAGGGACAGTTACCGTTCAATGTCGTTCCTAAGAAGTTGAACTTCACTCTTCAGCCAAGAGTTTTGTTGAGCTACAGTATAGTTCCTTGGGTCAAGCAGTTGGATCGCTCTCTGATAAGAAATGTCTGGTAAAGACAGCTGTTAAATAACAATATAACATTTCATCTTTAAAATGTTAACAAATGAGAAACTAGAACTCGTAATAAGTGGGATTTTGACATTTTCATTGGGAGATTTTCGTATTAGTCTACTTTATACTTACATCAGTAGCCTGATATTTTTGGGAGTCAACTTTTGAAGCAGTATCTTTGCTGATTTCATCGAGAGTCAAACGTAAATTCTTTTGGATGTACTTAGCATTTTCATCAAACGAGTCGTTGATGTCTTTGATTGCACATTTCAGAATGTCAATGTTCTTTTTATGTAGTACACTTCCGTTGTCCTATCGATGGAAAAACAATCAATTTGAGGGTTTTATTTTTCTCTCTTCGATACATCGAATACATTACCATAAGATAAGCACAAAGTGAAAGTGAGTTTCCATTAAATAATCTATATCCCGAATATATTGCAAGTGGTAGGATTAAATTGGAATTGGAGCGGGAAGCTGTCGCTCAGAAATGATAAGAATGAGCTATCAAGCTGTCAAGCAGTAATATAGACCAATCCTCAAATCTGGTCACGGTCCATTACATGCACGCTGCACGTGGCCTTGTGCTTGTTTGGGCTCATGAATATGTCTACTCAATTCACGCGTGCGCGGCTCAGAATATAACACACTGAGAGCTTACATTAGAAAAGTTAATATCTTTTCTATTACCGCGCGCTCTCTAAAATCTCTTCGGTAGACCCTTTTGATGGTATCCAAGGGGATTGGTTGATCCGATTAGAGGATTCATACTATTAGCTGTACAATGCCATATCAGTTATCACGATGAGTAATGACATAATACCATTATCAGGAATTAAACTACATTTTCGAAAAGTTTTCAATCCAACAGATTTTCTACGGACGAATTCTTTAGCCATCGCAATCATGTAATCAAAATTTTACACTAAGTTCTTCCCTCTCAAATAATTTACCTTGTAATCAATAAGCTCTGCTTTTTCTTGCAAAGTTTCGTCTGTTCTCGCTTGCTCTGCATCACATTTTCCTTTCAGTTCTGCTTCCTCCGCTTGAAGTTTTTGTGTGGAGACTTGTTTTTCCTTAAGAGCAGTTTCAATCTTAGTCTGAAGCTCGGTTAGAGTATTCTGGTAGTCTGAGTCGAATTCTTTTGCTGCTCTCATTGATTGTTTTACATACTGCAACTGTTGCGCTTGTAACTTCTGCGTCTGAAAAATGTATCGTTGACGAGAACTATGCATATTACACCAGGAATGAGGAAGTGTAGATAAATAATAACATGAAATAAAATACAAGTCGCATATAATGGATTATGGAGCTACTTATGATATACGTAAGGTCAGAAAAGCCACTTTTACCGGGTTAGTAAGAACTTCAGTGTTATTTTATTTTGAGATACGAACATAGATAGTCATTGTGCATGTGTCGTGTAATATCTAACAGGAAATTTTGACAGTGATCTCTTCATTTCCTACAGTAATCCGAAGTAATTGAGTAACTTAATTAAGTGTTGAAACAACCATCAATCTTAATTATCGTTAGCTTTTAAAAGTTGGTCGACTCGAGTCGTTCAACCATTGTACATTTTTTTGCTCGTGACATCGCTTGTGCGACTTGTTTACTTTTAACACGAGACCAAGAGCTTAGTTTTGATCATGAGAATGATCGTGATTTTGTTGGCTACAACTCTTGAGATAGTTCAGGGACTGCAGACTTTTCACATTGGATTTATTGCTGATACGGATAATGCAGAACTCGAACAAGTGTTTACTGGAAAGATAACACAACTGAATAACAAGACAAAGGAATTCCAACTAGTTCCTGTTGTCACAAACAAAAATTCCACTCATTTTTCGTCGTTAGACGTACAGGAGCAAATCTGCAGTTTGGTAAACAAAATGAATATGACAGTAGTCGTCGGACCTCTAAACAGAAAGCATGTGGCAGATACCTCCAACATGCTTTCAATTCTTGGCATTCCCAACATAGTTCCAAAACGTCCAATTAGACTCGGACGTTTTAAGGGGAATTTGTGGAGTTCTTATCAGATCAACCTGGGGATGAAACCTTCAAAAGCCCCATTTGTGGAGTTGTTCAAATTGTACGACTGGAGTAAAGTGACGGTGGTTTACTCGAACGACGACTATGGAATGTCAGAAATGATCGGAATTGTTGAGGCAGTTTCTGATGATAACTCGGTGACTGTTGTGGAGGAGATATCAATACCAGTTAACAATGATAATGAACAGGATTGGGTCGATGTTGGGCTCAGGTAGGTTGCAATGATGATTCATGTTTTTAAAACATTTCTTTATACTAAATAGATCTTGCTGACAATATAGAATGACTGTAAAGAACTGGTAAATTCTAGAACTCTCGATTTGCATGGAGATTAACTGTTTCTCTAAATACTCTAAATCGCAGATGATAATGTTAAGACGAGCTAATTAATTAATTCTCACAAAACTTCAGGTTCAGAAACAGAATAAACGTAAGAGCAAGGACCTTTATACTTTGTGTATCAAGTAACGTGCTGCTGAGAACACTACACACTGCAGCTCAGGAGGGACTGGTTGGAAACAACTTCTACTGGATTTCCACTGACACTGCCTTAGATAAAGCATCGTACAACAGTACGACGTTACCTTGGTACATGGCCGGTGTTGTGGCAGTAGGTCCTGATGTAAACTTCAGTGAAAGTGAAACGGATCTCCCCAATACTTTACACAAGGGTTCACTGGTGTTGGACAGTGTGGAACTAGTTCACAGAGCTCTTGCTGGAAATTTTGAGATGTTGAAAAAGCTCGATTTTCATGAGTACAATGAGGGTTGTACCTTTGACACGACGTTCATTGTCCCATACAACTTCAGGTACACACTCTCGAGAATTCTAAAAAATACAACTGTGTTCGGCAAGACAGGAACAATTAAACTCGACAAACACGGAAATCGGATAGAAGTGTCACCTCGCTTGGGAATTTACAATTTTGTTGGAACAAATCCCAAAGTCGTTAAAGCTGGAGTGTGGAATGGCCGGGAATTAGAACTAAGCCGAGACCTGAAATTTTACTCTGATTTCCAAAGAAAACGACGTACCCTCAGAATAGGTTTGATCCGAGATGAGCCTTTTGTCTTCTACGACTATCTGAACCGGGGACAAACCTCGTGTCCGACATCTGGGATCCAAAAAGATGACAAGTCTACCCCACCATGCTATTCCGGAATCATGATCTCACTCTTCGGGGAACTTTGTCGGAACCTCAACTTCCTCTGTACCTATCACGAGTCTAAAGACGGGACATCCGGAATGTATCATGATGGAATGTGGACAGGGTTACTCGGGATGCTTGACAACGACGAGATAGACATTACAGGGATCCCTTTCGCACAGACACTATTCGTCTAAAGGTAGCTCACTTCTCCACCCCAATACTCGATGGTGGGGTTTACATGGTGCTGAATCCTGCCGAGCAAAAACAAAAGAAGGGGTTTAAAATCGGACAGTTCTTTTCTTCAGGGTATAGCAATGATGGACTCTTGTTTTTGTCCCCTTTTAGTTTCCTGCTGTGGGTCTCTATCGGAGTAGTGTGTCTTTCTCTCTGGGTTCTGGTTTGGATTTTTGATAGATATTCTCCGTATGGACATCGTGGAGGTTTGGTACAGAAGTTGAACACTTGTAATTGTGAGCAGTGTATGTATCTCCCCATGTCAAAAGAACAGCAATTGACACTCTGTCAATATAGTCCTCTAGATGGTGTGAACGAGCGTTTACAGGAAATGGATTCACTAAGCTCACTCTGGATGATGGTCAGCTCAATCGTCCAAGTGATCCCAATGCCAACTGCTCCCCGGAGCTGGAGTAGTCGACTTGTTGCAACCAGCTGGTGGTTAGTGTGTCTGATTATGGTGGCCATGTACTCAGCTAACCTCACTGCCACCATGACCAGGTCGAGCGTGTCTCGAGCTGTCAGAACTGTCAACGATCTCATGAGATCTGGATCAGGTATCTCATTTGGCACGGTCAACAACTCAGTTACAGAACATCTGATCCGTAATGCAGAGGACTTTACTCTCAAGGAGTTTTACAGGAGACTAAGTTATGTTGACTCCTTCGATAAAGGTGTCAGTCTGGCAAGGAAAGGATCCTTTGCGTTCTTATCCGAAAAAATACCGCTACAGTATGAAGCTCTGAAACCGCCATGTAATCTGTACGTTACACAGCACAAGATAGTTGATTACAGCTACTCACTGCTCTACAACAAGAGACTGAAGGACCGTGAAGACATCGACAAAGGACTTCTATTGATGAAGGAGAACAACATGTTACAACGTTTATGGTACAACGTCAGCCACTCTAAGGATCTGTGTGACCATTTTAATCCTGTAGACTCGATAAAACCACTGGAACTTGGTGTAATGTCAGGGGTGTTTGCGCTAGCTTTTACAATGATTGGGGTTTCGATAATATTGTTTACACTGGAGGTGATGAAAAGCACGAGAATTTCGGAAAGCACATTTGTTAACAGAATCATTGGGTGCTTGAGGAAAAAAGATGGAACTAAACCAAACGGAAGAAGTTCTAAATCCATAACTGGACAAGAGGATCAAACCACAAATTGTTTAAAACCAGAAACTGAGCTGCTACAGTAGAGCAGTAGACACTTTTCAATACCAAATTTCCTCCTGCTAGTCACATTCAATATAGACTCTTTAACTAAACATTCATTGATATTATTCAGTGATATTTTAATCATGTCGTATTAAGCCACTGCATTATATTGAATATTAACTAGCCACATCTTTTGATTGTAAAACTTCTCTGAGATCTACAAATGGCACAAGACAACTTGAAACCAACCTTCTCTTTGCTTTCTTCATTTTCTACCTTAAGTTGCACAATTTCGTCTCTAAATGCCTCGATTGTCTTAGTCTTAACTTCGATCCTGAATAAAACAAAAATTAACAGCCCATCAGGACACCAATTTTTAAAAACAAAACCAAATGGCGAACAATAATTTTACTGTTAGTAAATGAGCTATTGATTTATTTGAAACAGTTTCCACAGCAGCTGTGATAAAATATTTTGCTGTCAATTCTTAACAAGGATAGTAACAAACTGTTTGGAAAGCTTGTCATGGGTACTAACTGGAAGGAAAGAATCGATTCAGCGACTGAGAGAGGTTCATCCTTGCCTGGTTTGTGGCTTACTTCTCCGCCTGATCCTTCTTCTCCCCCTTTTGTCTTCTTCTTCTTTCCCTTCTTAGCCATAGTATCTTTCTGCTACTGAATAAAGGTCGATATTAAAGTTGGTGTTTTGTCGTTAAACAAATACTTTAACTTTTAAATTCAATCGAATTATTATTTCAAGTCAATCTCTTTATTATATGTATTATATATACTATAAATAAATCAATAAAAAATCAATAAAAATAATGATTGTTCAACAATATAGATGCTTCTGTTTAAAAATCTACCAGAATGTCTCCTTCTATTCTGATGATTATTCGGTTATCAAAGCTTTTTTCGGTAACCTAGCTTTCAGTGGCCTCAATGGTGTCTTGTGCCATCCACATTCCAGGGTGAACTCACTTATTATTGGTCATCGAACAAAATTCAGGCATAAGAGTGAAATTTGGGTCCAGGAAAGCTGATATTTGAAAATTTTCTACGGGTAGGACATTTTCATGCTTACATTTTATCAAAGCTTTCTCCGGATATACAGCTTCCAGTACATTGAAAGTTACTCGAGTTACTCACTTAAACTTCACTGATTGATCATTATTCACTGGTCAAAAATTCAGTCGAAACTATAGCTATGAAATTTCGGTCAAGTCGGAAAAGCTTCTATTCAGAAATCCAAAATTGTTTTCTTCTATTTTGATGATTTTATAATAAATTTCTTGAAGCTTTTTTCGGTAATCTTGCTTTCAGTACCTCAATGGTGTTTTGTGTCATCCACGTACAGCGACCTTGATAGATGATAATTAAACAAAAGTTTAGTCAAGACGATGAAAGCTGGAATCTGAAAATGTCCTACTTGCATACTGGTAAAATAAAAATGTTTACTGCTGACAGAATTTAACTGCTGACAGAATTTAACTGTTGACAGAATTTGACTGCTTAGACAATATGAATACACTCACAGTCAATCAATTGGCCTAAAGCTGAAAACTAGGTCAATGAGATCTGAAAATTTCCTATGAGTATGGCATGCTAATCTCTCGCTCCGTTCCCTTCACATATGACATAGAAAGTCCTAAAAAGCGCCATGCATAGGTATAGGTATGCTTGGTAATTATATAAAGGGTAAGTGGGACATTTTTTATAATTTTCCTAATTTCACCAAAGATGAAAGATTTCTCCGGATATTCAGCATTCAGTAATTCACGATGTAGACTTACTTGTACTGGGGACCTCAGGCTTTTTTATTCAAGGTTATTAATTATTAAGGTTATTAATGGTTTGACTATTATTAAGGTTATTAATGGTTTGAATGATTATGGTTCAGACTTGTTGTTGTTCAGACCAAGCAGATCAGGTCTTAATCTGGTTTCATCCAATAGATGTAGTAAGAGTGTGACAAAGGTCAAGAATCTTCAGTGTTCTTTAATCTTTTCTTCCAGAGCGGGTTGTTCCTTACCTGGGGACCTCAGGGCTCAGGCTATCATGTTTATAAACGAATAGAGATTAGGCCGAATGACAGGCTGAGCGCGGCCCAGTAAGTTGTTCCTTATTGGAACAAACTCCCTTCGTTGGTGAAGAACTGCTTGACAGTTTTGAGTTTTAAAATTGGATTGGAAAGTTTTAAAAAGAATATGATTTCTAAATGTATTTATATATTTATCAATCAACAAAAATGTGGAACGACTGTCGAAAAATTGACAGTTTGATAAGCTTTACTAAGTCAACGAACTTAGTTAAAGTAACACTGGAAAGTGAGCTACTCAAGATACAGTCCAGGTACGAAGAATTAGAATGGACAGAATTAAACTTCGATAAGAATGAGCTTGTATTTTAAAACAGAGTCCTTTGACTTTATTACTTTGAAATTGAAGAATCGTCTGGCCATAACTCATTTCGTTCGCATTATAGATTCACATTCACTTTCATTTTCACTATCACGCACAGTACAGGGTCATACCTCAATACCAAATTATTATAGGGCACAAGAACGAATTTGTTTACAATTATCAAAATTTGTTGAGCCCAGCAGCTTACTTCCTTTCCTCTTTTCCCCCGTCGTCTGGAGCGTGTGATTTTTGTTGATATCCGAGCTCTTATTTTTATCTTTTGGTTAACTTTCTGTGATTGGACTCGGTATTTTCGTCCCGGCCGAGTGGGACGATGCTTGCTCGCCAGTTAAGCTATACTGTAGATGACACTAATTTCTACAAACCACAAAATATTAAATATAAAATGTGTCCAGTATGGCGCAAATGCATAATTTGATAATTTCTTGACGCCGTCGTCGGGGTGAGAGTTATCTGAACCAACTGCATGCCCCTACGATTGCGTCACCACTGGTGAGCAAGCATTTGTTTGTTGTTTAGTTGTGTTGAAAGGGAACATTACTTGATTAATTCATCCATTCGGATTTTAATAACGATGAGCTATGATATACCGTTCATCTTAGACTATTGGATCAATCTTATTATATGATTAGATTTTATAAACGAACTTGGCACACAAAAGATTATAATGCGGAGGTTGGCTGGCTCTTCTATAATAAATACGACACTTCAATTTACAGAATGCTTGCTAGAGATAAGACAAAATATTATCAGACTATACATGCAGCATGAGTAACTGGTGGATAAGCCTTCGGTAAAAACGGATCCGGAAAAGTCAATGCGGCACTCGGGTCCTTGGTATTGTCGTCGGTATATTGTCAATTATCTGCGTTCTGCTTTCGTAGTTTAAACAATAGTGAGTTCTAAATATACAGCTTTAAACAGATTAAGTATGAATGAATGAAATACCTGACAATCCGCACTCTTATAATCCAAAAGCATGAGTAACTCGTAGTGATGTATGATTTCTAGAAACTTTAAATTAATTTTGGCGCTCACAGGTCCTCGTGAATATGTGATCGCCGCATAAGGTTCTGTAAATGTGCAGGGCACCTTCAAGCTTAAATTATTCACCTTACTGAGGCAGTCAACCAACGCGCGGCTTTATTTTTATGATATGATATGTTTTGATTGTTATTAATAAATACCAAAATTTAAATTTGTTTTCCTAAAATTTGTTTTCCTAAATGACTTTCATTTTTGGAATGTTTCGAAAGAAGTTTTAACAAGAATTGAAGGTACCAGTTATATCAGTAATAAGGAAAAACACAATGATTATCTGTGGTTTCATCCTTATGTAGCAAAGAAACGTTTTATAAATCTTAACTCCACTGGGAAGTATGAATAAATTAATTTTTTTAATGTTTTTTTTATTCATGATTAATATTTTATAAATTATTACTTTTAAATTTGATGGAGAAATAGTTACTGTATATTTTTCCATGTAGTGCAATGATATTTTGTCATTTGTAGACATTAGTAATGATATTATGTCATAATTTTTACTTTACTTTACTTTAGTATTCATAAACAGATTGAAGCTGCGCTTCAAGATCACTGCATTTTGCAAGTCATTCACAGGAGGGGCAAAGTGCAAAGAAACTGCTGCATAATTGAATTACATATAATCGTATATATGCAGAGCTTGGCTTACAAAATGCAGCAATTTCATTGGACCAGAGTCGAGAGCAACTGTGTCATGAGTGTAATTGCTTGTGGCGACGTTTGACTACAAATGGCAGCGTTTGATCCTGGTTTCAGCCCACACTGTGAGTGCGCTACTATAATATACTTCGAAGCACGTTCCCAAAAAAAGTCAAAACGTTTAATACACTAAAATTATGATATTTGAAAAACAAATTATTTCAAAAATTACAAAAATGTATGCAATATGCAAGAGCAAAGAGGGTTGGGGATCCTTGTGTTCTTGGTTACCTGGGGACCTCAGGCTATCATGTTTATAAACATGTTTATAAACATCCGCCGAATAGAGATAAGGCGGAATGACAGGCTGAGCGCGGCCCAGTAAGTTCTTGGCGGATGTTACTCGTCTAAATTTCTTCAAAGTATAAGTAGCCTAGCCCCGCCCAAGTCAAGTGCTACGGAGTAGCGCGCTGAGCTAGGCCATTAACAATGGACAATTTTGTCATACGTTCCTCCCCTGTATCGTAGAAACTCACTATATTGAAGCGACAGTGGGGGTCACCACGTGATACAAGGACAATTGTGGTTGAGCTGGAAAATTGTTAAAGGTCGAAATAAGATTAAATTGTCATACGTTGTATAGCCGTTTTGCAAACAATAACAAACCAAAAGGGAACTCAGTCAGTTCCCTTCATAATAAAGCGCCGCGCCATACGTGATTGTACTGAATATTTGTGTGCTGCTAATATGAATTGTTTGCGGAGGGTTGCTATAACTTACTGGGCCGCGCTCAGCCTGTCATTCCGCCTAATCTCTAATGAACATGATAGCCTGAGGTCCCCAGGTAAGCTATAACCTTTTTAACTATGAAAGTATGTGGCCATTTATAGATCTATTTTATTTGTGTAGTGTTGCTAAGCTTTTAAGATATGAAATTATTTGGCCACATAAAGATCTATTTTAAAATGCTTGCGGTGTAAACGGAATGAATGTCACATTGCTTTTTAAGTTAACAATAACAGTTAATTTGTCTGCACTCATTACATGTGTGATGACCATTATGTGTCTGCCTTGTCAGTTGTCATTAAGTTTTGCGTCGTAACTCGTGACCCTCTTCATCATTTCATTTAATAACTTCTGCAACTTCGGCCCTGCTTTAATAAATTGATACTGGTAATTTCGTTTGTCGAAAGTTTGGCATTCTCACCCTCGTTTTGGCTTAAACTGTAATTTAAAAGTATTATTTTCAGGAATTAATTTAAAGGCACCGTTCCGACTGGACCTGTTTCTCATCTTTACTGGCTACAGTGTCAGCTGTTGTATTACACTTACACTCCTCTATACACCCCTTATTTGTCTTAAACTTCTCCCGCATTTAAAACTCATGGAGACAGCCCTAAGTAGAACATACGTTCGTGATTTCAGCAATTAATTTAAAGGCACCGTTCCGACTGGACCTGTTTTTATTACTATAAATGTAACTCTATGTAATATTTTTTGTTTACACTTGGTTTCGCTGTCATCTACCCGTACAATTAACGATTAATCCAAATATGGGCATGTCGTCCAGTGTCCACTATGTCTGTACTTCAGTTATTTTGTCCTCATCTTTACTGGCTGCAGTGTAAGCTGTTGTATTACACTTACACTCCTCTATAAACGAATTGGTCTTATTTGTCAAGTTTCCGACTCTTTCGCCCTAATTTTATTTGGAACTTCGTTCTTCTTAAAACTTCTCCCGCATTTTAAACTCTGGTTACCATATCCTGGAGACAGCCTTAAGTAGAACATACGTTCGTGATTTCAGGAATTAATTTAAAGGCACCGTTCCGACTGGACCTGTTTTTATTACTATGAATGTAACTCTATGAAATACTTTTTGTTTACACTTGGTTTTGCTGTCATCTACCCGTACAATGTCCACTATGTCTGTACTTCAGTTATTTTGTCCTCATCTTTACTGGCTGCAGTGTCAGCTGTTGTATTACACTTACACTCCTCTATACACCCCTAATTTGTCTTAAACTTCGGCACTATCCGTCGCGGAGTAGAGTCCGCGGCGGAGCCGCCGGACTCCGAGCGGACTCCGGCGGTGCTCCGCCAAAATGTATTTACACTGGACTCGAGTACATTTTGGCGGACTCCGAGCGGAGCCGAGCGGACTCCGAGCGGACTTTAAAGTCCGCCGCGGACTCCGAGCGGCTCCGCGGCGGCTCGGCGGAGTGTTCGCCGCAGACAAAGCCACTAGGCGCACTCCGGTCCGCCGCGGACTCCGGCGGAGTGCTTGGCGGACTCTGCCGGACCTCTCCGCCAGACTTGAATCCGGCGGAGTCCGGCGGAGCTTGGCAGAGTCCGCCAGCTCGGCGGACTCCGCTCGGAGTCCGCCGGACTCCAACAGAGTCCACTGACTTCCGACCTCCGACTTCCGACCCTCGGCTAAATTTGTCACGTGACCTACAACATAGCATTTTGCAATATTGTGGTCAGATGAAAAGGTCGCTAGTGATAAACCTTAACCATTACCCTCACAATGTCAATAGTGTACAACTCTAGTCCTAACTTTGACCCTATAATGTATAAACGTTGACCCTAACCCTCCACCAAACCGTCAGCAGCGAAATATCAATGTCATTGACTGGTCACGTGACCAAAACAATTTTTGTCATATTATCTCATATAGGGAAGCGTTTTTAGTTTTACCCTACACGTTGCATGTGGCGTCATTCGGCCGGATCCTAGCAAGCAAAAATACGTCGACCATCACAGGACGACGCCAGCCAGCACTCTCTACGCTCTTCGAGCTCCGATCGTCCTGTGACGAAGTAAGGACGAAGCCTGAGGTCCTCAGGTAACATCGACCACCGATTGAAAATTCAGAGATTTTTTGACATAAAGGTCAAATGTAAAACTAAAATCTTGATGTTAATTGATTGACGACGTCAATTTTTGAGCACAGCGCGAGCGCATGCGGAAAAGGACCGCGTAGCTAGTCAAGATGTTGATAAATATTTGGCTTGTGGCGCGATGTGTTGCTCTAAGTCTAACTATAGCCCTCTCGCTTGCAGTAGCGCGCGACCGCCGGAGGCGGAAATGACCTGGTTAGCTAGGTAAACGCGATGTGCCTTGTAAGATGAAATCCTACTAGCTGACGCCACTCGCAGCTGTGCTGCTCGCTGTACGTCAGCAATCGAAATTTATACGCGTATCACCCGTTAAGATGTGCCACCCGACGTGCCACACAATTTTTCTCGTTGCTCGTCGCACGTCGACGAACAACGAAGCTCGTTTGTCGTTGCGACGCGCAATGACAAATGAGCTGCCAGGCTAAGACATCGTCCTGGTCCAACAAATTTTGGCGATCGATTTTCTCCAAAAAATTAATGAGGGCGCCGACTTCCACTCTGGCTAGGTTTCTTGTTACCCAGCGCGCGTTCCTTAATGGGATGAGGTAAAATTAGGTAAAAAGAATCCACTGACTTGGCCAGAGTGCTTTCATAAAACTCTATTACTAGCTTGGCGTTGTAGGATTATATACTTTAATTTCGGATTGAGTGAAGCGAGTGATACACATTACTTTGATTAAACTCATGCTGATCACAATACAGTACAGGGAAGTGGGTAACACGGCTTGCAGTCGCAGCTGCAGCTCCTCGCTGACGGTAATATTTCAATGAACAAGAATTAAGAAAAAGAGAATTTAAGAAAAAGAGAATTTTATTTGCCACAGAATAATCGATACATATAATATACTTCAAAAACTTCAAAATATATTGTAACATGTAAGTTCATCTATCGTTCATAAGATGGGGTACTCTCAATAATCAAGTACATGAGTACCCGACCCGCCGCGCTGGGTAACAAGAAACCTAGCCAAAGTGGAAGTCGGCGCCCTCATTAAATTTTTGGAGAAAATCGCTCGCCAAAATTTGTTGGACCAGGACGATGTCCTAGCCTGGCAGCTCATTGCGCGTCGCAACGAGCTTCGTTGTTCGTCGACGTGCGACGAGCAACGAAAAAAATTGTGTGGCGCGTCGGGTGGCACATCTTAACGGGTGATACGCGTATAAATTTCGATCGCTGACGTACAGCGAGCAGCACAGCTGCGAGTGGCGTCAGCTAGTAGGATTTCATCCTACAAGGCTCATCGCGTTTACCTAGCTAACCAGGTCATTTCCGCCTCCGGCGGTCGCGCGCTACTGCAAGCGAGAGGGCTATAGTTAGACTTAGAGCAACACATCGCGCCACAAGCCAAATATTTATCAACATCTTGACTAGCTACGCGGTCCTTTTCCGCATGCGCTCGCGCTGTGCTCAAAAATTGACGTCGTCAATCAATTAACATCAAGATTTTAGTTTTACATTTGACCTTTATGTCAAAAAATCTCTGAATTTTCAATCGGTGGTCGATGTTACCTGAGGACCTCAGGATTCGTCCTTACTTCGTCACAGGACGATCGGAGCTCGAAGAGCGTAGAGAGTGCTGGCTGGCGTCGTCCTGTGATGGTCGACGTATTTTTGCTTGCTGGGATCCGGCCGAATGACGCCACATGCAACGTGTAGGGTAAAACTAAAAACGCTTCCCTATATGAGATAATATGACAAAAATTGTTTTGGTCACGTGACCAGTCAATGACATTGATATTTCGCTGCTGACGGTTTGGTGGAGGGTTAGGGTCAACGTTTATACATTATAGGGTCAAAGTTAGGACTAGAGTTGTACACTATTGACATTGTGAGGGTAATGGTTAAGGTTTATCACTAGCGACCTTTTCATCTGACCAAAATATTGCAAAATGCTATGTTGTATGTCGCGTGACAAATTTAGCCGAGGGTCGGAAGTCGGAGGTCGGAAGTCAGTGGACTCTGTTGGAGTCCGGCGGACTCCGAGCGGAGTCCGCCGAGCTGGCGGACTCCGCCGGACTCCGCCGGATTCAAGTCTGGCGGAGAGGTCCGGCGGAGTCCGCCAAGCACTCCGCCGGAGTCCGCGGCGGACCGGATTCCGCCTAGTGGCTTAGTCCGCGGCGGACACTCCGCCGAGCCGCCGCGGAGCCGCTCGGATGTCGGAGTCCGCGGCGGACTTTAAAGTCTGCTCGGAGTCCGCTCGGCTCCGCTCGGAGTCCGCCAAAATGTACTCGAGTCCAGTGTAAATACATTTTGGCGGAGCACCGCCGGAGTCCGCTCGGAGTCCGGCGGCTCCGCCGGAGTCCGCTCGGAGTCCGGCGGCTCCGCCGCGGACTCTACTCCGCGACGGATAGTGCCTAAACTTCTCCCGAATTTTAAACTCTGGTTACCATCATGGAGACAGCCTTAAGTAGAACATACGTTCGTGATTTCAGCAATTAATTTAAAGGCACCGTTCCGACTGGACCTGTTTCTCATCTTTACTGGCTGCAGTGTCAGCTGTTGTATTACACTTACACTCCTCTATACACCCCTTATTTGTCTTAAACTTCTCCCGCATTTTAAACTCTGGTTACCATCATGGAGACAGCCTTAAGTAGAACATACGTTCGTGATTTCAGCAATTAATTTAAAGGCACCGTTCCGACTGGACCTGTAACTCTATTACTATAAATATAACTCTATGTAATATTTATTGTTTACACTTAGTTTTGCTGTCATCTACCCGTACAATTAACGATTAATCCAAATATGGGCATGTCGTCCAGTGTCCACTATGTCTGTACTTCAGTTATTTGTCCTCATCTTTACTGGCTGCAGTGTAAGCTGTTGTATTACACTTACACTCCTCTATAAACGAATTGGTCTTATTTGTCAAGTTTCCGACTCTTTCGCCCCAATTTTATTTGGAACTTCTGTTCCAAATAAAATTATTATAGTGCCAAGTCAACACTGTTGACGTGACTATTATATTAATAAATTAATCGACTCTAGAGATTTTGCTTTTATATTTGAAACAACTACCGTCCACGAAGGATTATATTTATTGCTATTTTATTTTATACTTACCAGAATCTGATTTCTCTATTAGATGTGTTGAAGTCAAAGATAATACTGGATTTTTGTTCGACTTTATACTTTTCTGCTGAAGCTCCATAACGGTCAACACGTATAATACCTCTCTGGGAACCTATTTGTGCATTCATGAAGGATGAAACCCGAAGGTGAGTTATGGACTTATTCTAAATTCTAATATTCTCATAATATCTAACTGCTTCCCTACTTACCCCTAACTTGAGTGCTTGTGAACCACATCAAAACCCTGATTTATCATACACCACGATTAATCGCACAAGTTGTCTTTCCCTCAAACTGCAAACTGAGCAGTAAATCGTGGTGTTACTGTACATGGTTTGCCTGGTGAATACCATGATTACAATATTAAGTTTATGATAACAATTCTTCTAACCCTTAACACATTACGCCCACTTTGCAGTTGACGAACAGAGAAAAAGTCATATCTTGGGATATGGACCGATACATCAGTTGATCTTTGAATAAGAGGTGAGAATTAATTTTAAATATATCGATTTTGTAGGGTTTAATTTTATTATGAGGTCCTATTATGCATCATATAATGGGTTCGGAATGATACTATCATGCCCACACAAGTCAACATATCAGAACAAGTCAAGTTACACGGCCACAAAGATTTTCCAATCAGACAATGTACCAGTCCTGCTTGAGTTGATCGGATCTATATAATATATCAGATTTGTCCTAGTTTGCCGGTCAACTGCTGTCAGAATCAAGTTTCATGACCCCCCCCCCCCCCCCCCCCTCGCACAGACAAATACTACTGATAAACATCCTGACTCATATACTGATGTAATCTAGCAGTTTGGCTAGAACTATGCCAACAATAATTGATAGGTGAACTGTGCTGAAACCGTGCCAGATTATCTGGCATTACTAAAATATTGCTTGTGATTGTTAATCAGTCACCCGTCTAATTGTAGATGATGGTTATCACTGTAATAGTCCGAAGGTCGCAAACTTGCTCTGTTCCTCAACCCATATCGTGGTTCTGGTTCCGGTATCTCTTGATCACTTGATGGTTCTGTTCTCCAGCATCCAGCTGATCTGTGCCTTTATCACTATAGTCTCACGATGCAAACGTTGAGTTTTTACTTTCCTGTTCTTCTAAAAATCCGCTCCATCGATCACTTTCTACTTTGATTATTTAATTCCGTTAGAGGAGTACTCCTTATTGATATGCAGTAGCTGATAGACTCGCAGTCCCTAGCCGTGTACTTGTCCGAGCAATTAAAATCAATTAGGGCTTGTGCTGATAGGAGAATAATGATAGTGGGGAATGTGGCAGTGTAAATATGAACCTGGAATTTAGGATGTGTGGCTCATCCATTAATATTATTATTAGTTGCCGCTAGTCTGTGCCCAGTTTGTTCTGGCTTTTTTGTGTACAAGTATTATATACATATCATAGTTTATTTTTGTAATATCATATAATATATAGTACGTAATAATAACCATATCACTAATAACTAATTAACTAATTAACTAATCAACTAATTAAATAATTAACTAATTAACTAATTCACTAAACTAATAGGGGGGCAGTAATATGACCGTTATATCCAGTAACTGTCAAACCCGTTGTTATCTTCTTAGTCCTGGAATATTATGTAATAGGAAACTGGGCCACGTGTCATTGTCATTTTCACTCTGCAGGTTCAAGAGCATGCGTTTTGTAGCCGATTTAAAAAGGTTTATGGAAAAAAGTTTGGGTAGGGCCGGGTGCTTACATTTGCATTTACAGCATAAATTGAGAGTAAAGGTTCTTTAAAGAACAAGCGAAAATCTGAAATATGTGGTGTTGCACTCGGCTAACCAGGAAGCTGCAGTCACGTGATCTGAGTTTGCAGAGGGTGCATTTTCTGGGATGGTCATACGGATTTGTTGAGTGACTGAGCTACGGAAGTGTTTGTTTCGGTGCATGAGAATTAGTGTGTTTTTTACAATAACACTGTGCACGGTGAGCATACCATTGTCATTGAAAAATTGTTTAGTGTGCTCTGGCAGTCGACCGTCTTTGTAAAAGTAATTAATGTAACCTGGCATTACTGCAGATGCAGATTGCAGCCTGATACCCTGTTTTTGTCGTGAGAAGAGTGATTCAGTATGATTTTTTGCTGCAAACCCCCATATAATTGAACAGAAGTTTAAATGCGATTGAACAAAACTTTGATATAAATGTCAATATGTTCATTATATGCAAGCCTCTTGATTTATAACTGTAGCCTTATTTGAATCGGTAGGTGATATAATTCCTACAGTAGGTGACATAATTCCATCATTTTTTCTAACAGCTGCGATATGCTTAGACCATGTTAATTTATCATCCATTATAACGCCAAGAAACCGTGCTTCCCTTTTACGATCTAATTGTGTGTCTGCAATATGAATATTTGGAGTATTGTCAGTATTTCTAACACCGAAAAGCATATAGCAGGTCTTTTTTAGATTAAGTGAAAGTCCATCACAGTCAACCCAGCGTACAAACTCGTGGGAGAATTGGTTGAATTTTGTATCGTGTGCATTTTTACCTTTTATTAGATGTTTAAAGACAAATACTACTGATAAACATCCTGACTCATATACTGATGTAATCTAGCAGCGTGGCTAGAACTATGCCAACAATAATTGATAGGTGAACTGTGCTCGGTTGGGCCTGGGTAACACTAAATCCCAGTCTTGAAACCGTGCCAGATTATCTGACATTACTAAAATATTGCTCGTGATTGTTAATCACCCGTCTAATTGTAGATGATGGTTATCACTGTAATAGTCTGGAGGTCGCAAACTTGCTCTGTTCCTCAACCCATATCGTGGTTCTGGTTCCGGTATCTCTTGATCACTTGATGGTTCTGTTCTCCAGCATCCAGCTGATCTGTGCCCAGTAATCGACCGGGATTCCCAGTACCGGGAATCCCGGTACCGGGATTGGCAATTATGAGCTATCCCGGTCCCGGTCAAATGCTGATTTATGATCTCGGTCCCGGTCCCGGTTAATTCAGGATTCTTGGTCCCGGTCAATCACTCAAATTTGCCGGGATTTTGGCCTGGATCTTTTACATAATTTCATTCACTGTGATTTTAAGTTTTTCCTTTCATTCATTTTGAATTTCATCTTTAAACATCCTCTGAGCCAAATAAAACAATGTTTAAAATTGCTAAACAAGTTTGAGTAATAAATTATGATCATGAATTAACCAGTAATCGGCCGGAATTCCCGGTACCGGGAATCCCGGTACCGAGATTGGCAATTTTGAGCTATCCCGGTCCCGGTCCCGGTCAAGTCACATTTTTCATCCCGGTCCTGGTCCCGGTCAAATTATGCGGATCCCCCAGACAACCATAACACGAGGTTAACGAAAATATGGAATATAATAACCCCTAACTTAAAAATATTTGATTATTCTGTTAGTATTTCTTGCCTGAAATCCACTTGCCAACCAGCATTGTCATGCCGTGCCAACCAGCATTGCTGCATTGTCATGCCGTGTATGACTGGACAAATACAGATTTTGATATTATTAACCTTAAAATTTCGTAGGCTCCTGTAGGGATTCCACCTGACCTCCAAAATTTCATGACCAAATCGACTTACTCTGCCAGCTAAGCGTATTCCAGTTGAATGTGATGTGTGAGTGAGTAAGTGTAGTGTAAAGAGATCCTATTTTTGTATCCAATTTGAATTCTAATAAAGACCCTAAGCATTATGATCAAATTTTTAGTACAATAGTTATATCAGGGTTGACATCTATGATTAATATTATAACCCAACATTCATTTTTTTCTCCCCTAAATTTAAACCCCCGGCCCCCAATTAAGACATTTAGCCATGATGGGGGGGTACCAATGGCATAAAATGGCATAAATGGCATACGTTTTATGGCATAAATGGAAATTTTTATTGGCCAATTCTCCATTTATGCCATGAATTTAGATCTTCATATTTGACCTTTAGGATGACTTTAAATTCGCAAATTATTATTAGTACTTGAATAAGAGACATGTTTCATGCTTTATAACGCTTGGCATGATCGTTAAAGATTCATATGACAAATAAAGAAAATAGAAATGTATTTTATCAAACGGGGGGGGGGGGGGGTACCGATGGCATTTTATGACATAGAATGTCATAAAATGGCATAAATGGCATACGTTTTATGGCATGGTTGGTAATATACTCAATGATGGGAGTATAGTGTATTGGCTATGCCCCGCTTACTAGTTTAGCTCTTTCTAGTCCCCTGCTACACGGCATGTAAACAGGGATTGGCTAGTTAGAGGCGGTCCGTGTAGGCCTTACACTGTGCTTTCAGCAATACTCATAAGTATTTCCGTGGCTGTGGTTGCAATGCGCCTAGTCTACTGGAATGATTCTTCGGAATTTCGCTGGATTGTACAACTTTCGTCTTGGTAGATTCCAAACACAAGGAAATTTTCCTTCTGGTTGGTAATATACTCAATGATGGGAGTATAGTGTATTGGCTATGCCCCGCTTACTAGTTTAGCTCTTTCTAGTCCCCTGCTACACGGCATGTAAACAGGGATTGGCTAGTTAGAGGCGGTCCGTGTAGGCCTTACACTGTGCTTTCAGCAATACTCATAAATGGAAATTTTTATTGGCCAATTCTCCATTATGCCATTTATGCCATTGGTACCCCCCCGCCATGATTTAACACCCAAAATACTTACCGTCCTTAATAATTGTAAAGACCATTTGTTACAAAATAGCTTATGTCCCTAGAAGGGTGTTCTGCTAACAGTTTTCGACTGACTTGAATGTCCTGCACAGCAGATTGAAGCTTCTTAAATTAATTTTTATTCTTATTGTATTGCTGTGTAAATTTGATTCTAATTCTAATTCTAATTCTAATAGCTGCTAGAATAGTACATGCCAAATATTCCCTCTTACACCCACAAATTATAATGCCTTCCTATCAACCAGACTAGCGTTCTGGTGTGTACAAAAGCTACCAGCCAGTACATTCCTTGCCCCGCTAGTTGATTGTCAAAAAACCATACAGCTCAGAACAAATGGCCATTTACTACTAAGAGCATTATATGTTTTCATTTGTTTACATTTTATGCTGTTTACTCTCCTGTACTTCTAAAAAACCGCTCCATCGATCACTTTCTACTTTAATTATTTAATTCCGTTAGAGGAGTACTCGCAGTCCCTAGCCGTGTACTTGTTAGAGCAGTTTATTAGAGAAACAGGTAACATTGCATAGTTTATAGTGTGTGTCACTGATAAAATCAGTGATATTTACGGCAGATGCCAGATCCTGTAATAAAACGGAATCATAGCTTATAATATTTTTTATAGATTACAGCGGCTACACTTCTAAATTTGCTTCGCACACACCATACACATTTGTACATTCCAATTTCCATTGATAGATATATTCGCACGTGTGCGCGGCTCTGATCACGCCACAGCCCACAATTTATTGGCAAATATCATATTAGAGACACACCGAATTGGGGGGGGGTGTAACCCAAAAAAACCCAACTCCTACCCAAGAAAAGGTAATACTGGGATTGGGTTTTTTTGGGTTTTTTTGGGTTTTTTAAACAAAATTTAAACAAAATTCTAGCCATTTCATTAATTGTATTGAATGTGAATTATTTCCCACTGAGTCTTACCTACGTGTTGTTCTCATGTCTTAACTTAATAGATAGTTTACATAGTAAATAAGTGTGTTTATAATTATATTGATAGTATGTTATCACGATAGCAAACAGGATGTCTCGTTCATTGAGATATAATCCATATGAATGCACAAAGTGGAAATGTGCCAAACGTGGCAAATGTGTTCTCCTGTCATGGAAGGAGGCTGTGACGAAGGTCAAGGGCAAGTCAAAGCACATGACTTAAATAACTTGACTTAAGGCGGCTTCAGAGTCCGAGTCTCGATGATGTGTCTCCAAATCTTTCTGTCCGCCATAAGCTCCTTAATCTCCCCAGTGTTCTTGAGTCCAGTGTCACTTATTAGGTTATCGACGAAGGTGAGCGGTGGTCTACCCCTCCCTAGGTTCCCAAAGGAGAAGTTGGTGTGCTGCCAGGTCATCATGTCGCTGGATGTGCCCAGCCAACCTCATTCTTCTGGCCTGTATCTTCGAAATAACTCTTGGGAGTGATCCAAAGACCTCCTTGTTGGTGCGATGTCCTATCCAGTCCACGTTTAGGGCCATCCGAAGCATTCTACTGTAACATCCGTCTATTCTTTTCTTCAAAGAATAGACGGATATTATTGTCCACGTTTTCGTTCCATACAGGAAGATTGATTTAACCGTAGCTTGAACAGACGGATCTTTAAATCTCGGCGCAAATTGGACCTCCATATAGCCTACATTTTGTGGTAGGCAGCCCATGCCTTGGCCTTGCGTAACCTAAAGTCGTGCTCCGTTGTACTAAAATCCTCAACTTCTTCTAAGGCATGTCCGTCCTTAGAAATTATTGTGTGTGGCTCCTCTCCTACTAAATTAACTGTAAGATGCTTGGTTTTAGACAAAAAAGATTTCATGCCTCCTCATCAGATGAGGCTTCTGTAGGACTGTAGCATGTGATGACAGTGAGCCTGGGCTTTCCATTAAGAGACATGGTGAGGATCCTTGCGCTGTAAGATTTTATAACTTTATAAGACTTATAGCCTCGTATATGCGCTGCTGTCCTCGTCAAGATGATTTCTACTCTCCCATTAGAAGCGCCAGCTGCGTTTCTATTCTGGTATTCTCAGCAATCAGCATGCACTACCCGATGTTCGATTCTTGCAGGGCAAGGATGTGCAGCTTGCTTCCAGAAAATAGTTCTGCAAGTTCGATGCGTTTGTGCTGTTCTCTGGCTGTTCTTATGTTAAATGTGCTAACCTTAGCAGTCCTTTTACATGATACAATACAATTGATGTTCATATTTTTTTGATGTTTTCTTGTTTGACTTTCTGTAGAAATAGGTTGTCGTGTTGTGGAGACCGAGTCATCAGCTTCTGTAATAGCAGCGTAATTACCCCGGCAACCACTTCCACTAGAAAAATAAGGGGCTTTAACCCTTAAGCTGTTGATAAACTTCATCTTGACTTTTCAGTTGGCTCACAATCCTGTGCAGTCCCCTGCACATTAGCAGTGGATTGTGTTCTTAACTCTTGCGCCACTAAAAGGTTAAGGGCATCCGCTTGAACAAAAGCCATCTTTAACTCTCACCATAATATCTTGGGTATCTTGAGCATGTAATTGCACGAACATATGCTATACAAGACAAATGTGACACTTCCTTTTTCTACCCAACAGCATCAGTTGTAATCCTTACCCAATCGTCACCTGCTCTAGTGTGGGACTTTCCGATTTTATTCCAAAGCATAAGGAGGTTAGAGTGAGAACAGAGCTACACTTTAGCGGGGACTAACCCTTCCCTTGACTACCTCGTTACCCGGTACCCCGGGCATAGGGAGCCGTATCCTGACTACCAGAGTGTGGTCCAGTCTAGCTGGGTCATAGTAGACTAGGTTGAACAGGGTAACAGCCAACACCTCTTAAGCTACTGTGCAATCCACAGTAAAGATTTACGAGTCTCAAAGCCTCTTGTAGACCAAGAGTTAAGGAGTCAATAGATCAAATTATTGAACTTCCGGGGCTCAATGTCTCCCGTCGACCGTCCTGCCTTTAGCCTGGACCCCCTGTCCAGTATCCAGTCTTCACCACGCGGAGGTAGTGGCTTTCATCATGCTATCGGATGAGTGTCTGGAAGAGGGCACCAGCAGGATACCCCTTTTCAAAGTTCTGGGAGCCTCACATCAGACCAGGGCTTCCACCCAGCTTCTATCCAGCGGTGACGCCTTGGGCCACCTAAGCTTCACACAACCATTGAAAGAGTGACCACCTGCCTACTTGTAAAAATTTTGACGATGTGATTATTACAGTCGAGGGTCTGTTGCTGTACATTCTCAGTGTAACAGCTGACAACAGTTATCAACACTTTATGCCCTGGCTGTTTACATCCGATGCCTGCAAGCAAACTTTATGCTTTCCTGCGCATAGGCCTCCATGCAAGCATTAGAACTTATCTGTGTTCTAAGGATATGTTGGTTGGCATGGGCAAATCAAACCGTTCCCTCGAGCTTGATGCACTCGGCAAAAGTTTGATCCCTGTAACAGTTGCCCACCCTCGCAACAAGCTTGTTATACCGCATCCGAAAGCATAAACTATATAGAGGTAAAGATACTTCAATCTTAAGATTGTTACAAGCTGTGAAGAAGGGAGTCTCAAGGGGTAGAGAACTCCTTCAAGAACACTATAGCTTCGAAGGAGAGGCTTTCCAACCATCTTCTGACGGAGCAGAGAGTGACGAAGCGGAAACAGATGATGAAGAAGAGGAAGTGGAGGATATTGACTCATCAGAGGAATGGGAGAAAATAGCAACTGTGTATGGTAATGCTCTGCATCATGATACGACTGTTGAGGTTTGCCTCAATGGAGGGCGAGATCGAATGCCATCCCAGTCAATATTTTAGCGACTCCAGGGCCATAAACAAGCGAAGATATCACTTAATATCACATGTGATCATGCAGCTGATGTTGTAGTGATGAACCACAACAGTGATGTTGTACTGATAATTGTTTTGCTAGGTGCCTACATGATTTTATTTCCTTCAAATTAAAAATTTGTAAAAAACCCAAAAAAACCCAACTCCTACCCTGAAAAAGGTAATACTGGGATTGGGTTTTTTTGGGTTTTTTTGGGTTACACCCCCCCCCCCCCCCCCCCCCCCCCCCCCGAATTATAGACCAAAATGTGTCTAAGAGTTTTATGTAAACCACACTTGCTTCAGCATTTCTGCCAAAATTTGAGTGTGCATCACCGGAACTTCGAGATTTGCGTGAATTGTCGAGTTGTACAGACAGATCCGTCTGATAAAATCGATCTGCCGACACACAAAGCTTACAAAAGATTTGTGTCTTAATATATAGGGTGGGCCAAAAGTCAGTGGGCATACGTTGGCCTTAATAGCTCCGCTGTGTTTTATATTTTAGAGCTGTTGCTTTGCAGATGGCATACTGTACTTACTGGTTCGAGGATTTCGTCGTCAAAATTTGAAAATTCGAATATTTTAGACCACGCCCATTCAATATTAAAACACCTATATTGTTTTCTCTGAACATGCTGAACGCCTATTTTTTCAGAGACGGTAGATTATTAAATGTTGCATATGATCCGAAAACATGAGGCAAAACGGATTAGAAATGACCAAGTTATCAAGCATTTTCTGTATCTTGTTAACAATATTGACTGGGTGATTATGTGACACCGTGACACGACACCTTAATTGGGCACCCTTAACAATTCCCATAATGTTTAACGGGGTGGTTAACGGGGTCACCTAATCACGTGATTAGGTAAACCAATCTCCTGATCACACGTAATGAATAAACTCGTTATGCTTCATATCTCTGTCATCTAAGAAGTTACAGTTCTAATTTTTTCAGGACAAACGTAATTCGAATGGCCAAACACAATTCAATAAAATTTAGCTCGATTCGACTATCAAAACTATTATATAAAAACTATATCAAATTAATGCAAAAATGAACCTTCATTTGAAAAAAATGAACTCTAATATTTATCGATTTGACAAATTCCTCGAACTAGTGGTGGTAGTAAGTCATACCAGAAAGAATTATTTCAATTGGGCACTCAGTGATTGAGCTATTAAGGCCACCCTGTATATATATAAGGCCACTTTTTGCCACTTAACCGCTTTTCTTGTTTGTCAAATAACTTTAGTTGTGAACATCGTTAAAGGTTGCAGATTTATCGAGGGTGTTCATATAATCAGGAAGACAATTTTACGTAAGATAATCAGTTAATTGGATAATAAGCAATAAGCTAATGAGCAAAAATTTAAAAACTTTTTTATAGGCTCAAAATGATTGGAATAGCTTAAAACACGGAGAAAAGTAGTTTTTAGTTATCAGGAATTACTAAGTCGAAAGGGCTGAAACTGAAAAACGTTAACCACAGGGTATTAGAGTTTCATAATTAATTTATATTAACTAATAAAGAATGGCTATTCTATAATATACACCAGATACACCACATTTTACTAGCTCTAATATTGTTCAGATACACCAGACTTTATTAGCTCTACTATTATAATTGTGGAGTTATACCAGACGTAGACGTCACTAGTTCTTATATTGTTAATATACACCATACTTCACTAGTATTTATATTGTTACGATACACCAGACTTTAGTAGCTCTAATGTTGTTCAGATACACCAGAATAGCTCTAATATTATAGATATACTAGGAATAATAGAGGGGGCCAAAAGTCCCGTTACACACGTGTTTAATATTTATAACTATTCATTCGAGAAGTCTGTCGTCAACATTCGAAAATTCGAATATTTCAGACAATATTAAATCCCAATAATGTTTTATAATGATTTATTTTTCAGAAACTCAGCAACCGCTGCAAGAATTGAAATGCCGAAAATCATTTGAAAATTCTCGTCGATTATATGTTGGGCCATGCGTTTGATCATCTATGGAGATTGGAGGTCACTCTGATTTAGTTATTGAAAAGGAAATGTAAAACCAAGGTATGTGATATATGTTGCAAGTGACCATGTGGTCAAGTATTCATTTCTAACCTCCGGTTTGTGCTACCAAGCATTGATTCAGTCGATATTGGTCGCTCTGCATGTTGTTTTAAGTTACTTTTCAAATAGATCCAATGCTGGATTATATTAATGAGCTATTAATATAAAATAAATCCTTTTGGGTATGCTTAAACAAATCTTTACGTATCATGAATAATCTAATGTGACATAATATATTTCAGGAGACTGAAGAAATCCAAAGATAGAGCCAAAAAAGACAGTCAGAGGACCAATTTGATTAACCTTAACAAGAAGAAGGCCGAGCTGGATGAACAGATATTGCTCCGCAGCTCGTTTCCTAGACCCTACTTCATAAAAGTATCCCCATCCTCAACAGATCCTCAACATACAGCAGAACCTCAACCTCCAGCAGAGAAAGACAATTTTAAGTATTCCCGACGAAAATGGTCAATTCTCAGATTCAAAAATTCTCAACAATAGTCATGATCACCCAGATGTTCTGCCTAGGGTGAATGTTAAGACCACTAAGTATTCCGAAATGTGTTCTATGAATAAGCTAGATGGTATATTTAAATTGTCTTGGTAAGAACGTGCCAGTAACTGAGCCGCATATTTTAAAGGGATTAGATTTATCTATGTTTTGTCTTAAAGAACCATTTACTTCTGAGCTGCCCTGTCAAAATTAAAAGGGCGTATAGGTTGTTTCGGCAAAAGTTCCCTTAAATTATTGATGGACGATGTTAAAGATCGTAATTTGGTTATGAATACTTCCGAAGAATTGAGTGATTATGAAATAAAGGATATTGCCCGCTGTAGACAATGTTGGAGGATCCTTTAAATGTAGTTTTTTTTGCACATTTTACGGTTTGAAGATGTTTTAACCATGGTAAATTAGGTACACGTACTCAAGTTCGACACGCACTGTAGTTCGTCACTTATACTGTAGTTCGACAAACCCTAAGATTCGACTCTGTCGAACTCGAACCAAAGTGCTCTATCTGGACTCAAGTTCGACACTCACTTAAGTTCGACAAGAGAACTTAGACTGTCGGACTAAGGTTTTGAAATCTCCAATATCAAGCAACGATCCGTTATGAGCTTGAAATCTATTCGTTTGTTTGTTCTCCGCTTGTCTCATGCTGTTCAATTATGTTTGAATGTAATTTCTATAATCCACATCTGTGGACATTAATTAATTGACCTCATACTCAATTGTTAGTTAGCGGAGTTGTAGGCTTAACGGAGAGATAAAAGAGTAACGTGGTAACTCTTACTTCGTTTTATAGATCTAGACTCTAGAGTATGCTATGTAAATACAAGGGTCGACCTCGGCCTCGGTTTTACCGAGGAATAGCGATTTTTCCTCGGCCTTGGTCAGGAGGACAATTCCTCGGTTTGCCTCTGTTTTTTATCAAAGACCCTCGTATAAATATCTAACACATACCACACTTTATGTATTGTCACAAATGACTAGTAGTAGTAAGCGAGTACCGGAGACCAGTCCAGAGATTTGGCTGCTGAACCGGAAACCGTCTGATATCAATCTTTTTTCTTTGAAGCACTGATCTATGTTAATTTATATTGCAGATGAATTTTAGTTGTGTTATACATTAATATAAGGATACCAATAATACAATTTTGAGTTATATGAGGTGAGTTTTGTAAATCGTAAATATCGTGACTAAAATTCTGGCTTTACTGATTGAATTTGGAATATTTTTTCTGATTAAAATGCCGGATTAACTTATTTAATTTGAAAGATGCTTTCTCGTCTTATCCAAGTATCGACATTTCAAAAATAATCAATCTACCGAGACTTCAGTGTTCATACTAAAATAAGAATAAGAAGGAGAAAGTGTTGCTAGTTAGAAAATTGTAAAAAGTAAGGGTTTAGCTTTCAGTCAACGATCACGTCATCAAAGAATTTAACATGTAACTTCAAAATCAAATAGTCTAGAACCTTCTGAGATGACTCTCCCGTACACGCGGTAACAATTTAGTACTGAGTCTACTGCCCCGCGCACGCGAGTTCTTCTCGTCCGGCCAGTTGCACCTGAGATTTCTCGCGAATCTCGCAATTCGGATGACACCCACTATAGTGAAGCGACCGTGGGGGTCACCATGCAAAAATTGTCTTTTTGGCATGGTGTTCGCGCGACGCGAAATGATATTTAGATTTTAAATTAATATTGTCATTGTATTTAAATTATTTTGTCCTCAGTCCTTTTTGTATCACGGTCGCTTCACTATAGTCTTCGACGCTACAGGGGGAGCCGCGCACTTCGTGCGCGGCGGGTCATACAACGTATGACAAAGTCCTTTAAGGTCAAAATTTTGTAAGAACAAAGAAATGGCGTTTTTAAATTTTTAAATGGAGACTTTTTATGGAATAATGCATAATAGAAAAACCCTTGGGAAATTCTTCATTCTAGCCCCCCCCCCCCCCCCCCCCCCCCCCCCCCATGAATGATGAATACATTAAAATACACTCGCGCATAGCATAGCATGCACTGACTACTATACCATAATCCATATACAGGATATACATTGATATCCCAAATATCATAGAGATATATATCTTGGCGGCGCGCGAAAATGGAAAAGTGGCATGCAACGTATGTCAAGATATACATCACATTTCATTCTTCGCGCGCAACGTACGTACGTCGTATATTATGCGTACACGGACCTGAAATTCCTTAATTAACCTTGCCACTTGCTCAGCTTCTAAAAGTATCATAATTGATTTTAGTTTTACTCATTACTGTCTTGCACCGGAAATTTCACAGTGTATAAATACGCGGCGGATGATGATTATTCACTCTACACTCGACCATGTCACGTGACTTTTTAAACAGTACCTTTTCACTTCTCTGGCTGGCCCTGAATGACTATTCGAAATTAATCCTAGACCTCTAATCTGCATCTGATCCCAAAACCCAACCCTAACTAGTAAAGTCAATCCTGATGTCGGGAATTCCCGATCCCGGAATTTCCGATCCCGACCATTTTTGACCTGAAATTTTCACGGACCGGGAAATTTTTTTATTTTCCGAATTTCGCGTTCGGGAAATTTTATGCAATGTAATTTTAATAATTTTAGCGCTTAGATTAGCTTGCTAATGCTCGAATCTTCGATGCAATGCTCATTGCTCATGCTGGGTAATAAATGATCTTGATTCACGATGTCAATCCTTCCTAGCTCGGCGAGGCCCAGTGGTGCATTTCGATCTCGCCGATCTACGGAAGCATTATTGGATCCCAAAACACGTGTTTAACTCCGTAGCCTTCTCCCAAATGCTTCGGATTGCTAACAGGAACTCAAGAGAGGATACACGGCAGGCGGACCTACAGCAATTGAAATCGGATTTGCGTCGTAGTGGACACGACTCAGCGAAACTGAACGCCTTAGAGCCAAGGGTGTTGGAGAAGCTGTTCAATCCTCCACCCAACTCAGAAGGAAGTGTTCATGTTCCCCAAAAAACTTCCATGGTGTTTTCAGTCCAACACCTCTCGGAGATGCCCCAGCTTAAATCAGTCTTAAGGGAGTTGGAACCGGACATTGAAGCACTATTAGGCCCAACACAAATCACGGTGGCATCGAAGAAAGGCTGCTCGATTGGTAACAGAGTACTGAGAAACAGTGCTATCTGCAGAACACCGGCAGAAAATAATTCAGAGTGGACTCAGAAATGCAATGCACCAAGATGCCGAACATGCAGGCATATGTGTAGGGCAGGGGAAGAATTTGTAGTTAATGGACAGAAGCTAGTAGTTCCTATCAGATATAATTGTAAATCTAAAAATGTTATTTATGTGGCCCAATGTAAGCTTTGTAATCTTATAAAGGAAGAAGGTTATGAGATAGTTGTAGAAGACACTTATTTCGGGCAAACAATGCAAAACTTTCATAAACGTGTCAATGGACACAGAGCCTGTTTTAAAGTAGAGGATCGTAATAAATCAGCCCTTTCGATTCATGCCTTTAATTGACGATGTCAATTCATGGCAGCTCGGCGCGGCACAGTAGCGCATCTCGCCGATCTAGCCAGTCGCTGTGAGAAGCCTTATTAACAATTAATGATTAAGTGCGCGGCGCGGCACAGTAACGCATCGCGCTACAATTCATGCCTATGAACATCACAGAGATATTTTTACTATTGACAACTATAAATTTGCCATTTTGAAAGAATGTAACCCCAGGGGATTAAATAGGGAGGAATTTAGGTATATTGAGAAGTATAGAACTAATTGCTTGGGTTTAAATAGATGCAAAGTTGAAAGATAAGGTTCTTAGTTTTTATTTCTTCTTTTTTGAAGCTTCATTTTTGAAGCTATATTTTTGTGTATTTCATCTCCATTTACCTTGTGTATTTTATTTAGGTTATTTGATTCTCGATTGTTTGAGGCATTTTAGATCTTCGTATATATAGTACTAATAAATCTAACCAACTTAATTCCTTTGTAGCTAATGATGTAATTTAACGAAGTATACACTACATTTGCGTGTTTCACTGTCTAGCCCACCAACCATAAGCATTATTGGATGCGCGAGAAGCATTATTGGATGCGCGCGCGAGCCAGTAGTGCAGATCGCGCTACAATAAATGATCATGATATAACACTCATCGCCACATGTGCTTTTATTTTATGTTACGTTGCACGTGTTCGTGTGGTGATGTAAAATAATGCACGCATCTAGAATAGCAGCTAGTTGCCTGATCCGACCACTTTTTGACTATGTCTTTAGTTCTGTGGAGTGTGGTTGCTTTGCTGCGCGCGAGTTGGTTCCGTTTACACGTCAATTGATCATTCCGACTTTATTACTTTTTGCAAACAAAGGTAGATGTCCGAGTCTAATGCGAATTGATCAGGTGAAGATGTAAAAGTTCTTGAGGTTCTTTTAATTTTGACAAAAGATGTGCATTTTCATTTGTTATCTTCAATTTGAATGGCCGATAACTATAACATATAAACTGAAAGTTTTAAACTAATCTTAAACGGTTAAATTTTAATTAAAAATGCTAATCAAAATTGCAATTGACACTCTATACTGCTTCAAGTACACTTTTATAGGATCGTTCACATATTACGTAATCATTTTTTTGGAACATTTTTACTCCCCCCCCCCTTGATCCAGAGCCCTCTCGCTTGCAGTATAGTAGCGCGCGACCGCCGAAGGCGGCAAAGAGGCTTATATTCTACTTGTGAAACAAGCGCGTCACGCAGTACGCGTATACACATGGCTATGTGAACCCCCCTCCGTTATCATTTTTACACATAGCTAGTATTGTGTCAAAATTACACAAGCGTAATCATTCGGAACCCCCCCCTCAGCTGATTAAGTAATATGATTTTATGTGAACGACCCCTTATGAAACTTGTAGTCGAACTCCAGGATTGGCACCATTTGTTTTAACAAACTTTCAATGTTCGGGAAATTCCCGATTTTCGGGAATCCGGGAAATTTTTCCCGATTTTCCGGAAACCCGAAATTTATTTCGGTCGGGATTCCCGAATCCCGGGATTTAAAAATGAGATCGGGAATGACTTCACTAACCCTAACCCAATCTTTAACAACAGAATTCACTGAAACCCTTACCTGGGGACCTCATATAGGCTATTATATTATTATTTATGTTCATAACAATAGAGTCAGAGATTCGGCGGAATGACAGGCTGAGCGCGGCCCAGTAATGAAACCCTAACCCTAACGAGAAATTAATAGACCAACTTCTTTAAATACTACTACTAACAGTAACAATATTAACTATATTCTTTAAAATATTAAGTATGTTGATCACAAAAAATAAAATCATTCAATCTACTTCTAGTAGTACTAGTAGTATCGTTCTTTAGGCATTATAGGGGGTAGGCCCACTTCCAGTCCTTGGCTGTGAAGCGTGCGCAGTTCGGGGAGCATCCTGTGGCAGATCGCTTGTGCAGCTGGGTATTTGCTATAAGTGACAACCAATGTGGGTGTCAGGCAGTGGATCACAATGGATCAAATTTTGATCAAATTCCAGGACACAGGAACCTCCATCATCTCAGGCAGAGTATCCTCATGCAATCCTTTCATGGGCCATCTAGGTCCAGCCTCTCATTATTAAAATGGTCCATTTCTAATTTCTTTCAGCAATTAACTGTGATCAGACACTGCCGTAATCATTAACACCCGGAGAATCTGCAGTTACAAAGCTTTCCTTTTCAGGTCGCCGTTGAACTGGTACAGCCATCGACTTTAACTTCGTACTGATAATAAGTGATAAGGTAACAAAGTGATAGCAAATCAATGCATTTGAGCTATTTCTTGTTTTTTGCAAGAAGTCAACTCACCACAGGATCTTATGCAATCAATTCCAACAATGATCATGATAATTAAACTAAATCACAACACACAGGGATTGATTAAACGCAACAATATTTGATTCATTACAAAGATCCGAAATAACGGATGAAAATATTATTTAATCAATAATAATGATCAGAAAGATGTCCGAGCGTACCTATTTTGGGAAGATTGTTGTAGGAAAGGAGGTAAGTAAATGCCGGCTAGCTCACTAGCTTTTACTTCTCGCTCAAGAAAATCACTGTATGGCCTTTCAGGGAATAGCCACCTGTAAAGAAATAATTTATTGTGACGAATAATTTATTTTAACGGCCAGGTAGCGCAGTTGGTTAGAACGCCAGCTTTACAATCGTAAGGTTGCGGGTTCGAATCCCACAGTCTGCCTGGTCGTGGGATGAGCGTCGTTGACGTTCAGCTAAGGATCCTGAGTAGTCTATGCAGCCCCCGGTCTACTCAGCCGAATACTCGAGAAATCGGGTGTGAGGGTTAATGGTTAAACTTAAATGAGGAGCTGCACATTGCAGCAAAGTCTCGGGCAAAGAAAGTATGGTACACACTACCTTAACCGTCACTGGCCATAAAAATCCTTCGGCGCCCTGTAATTGGCTGGTTGCACTGTGTAACAATGTGGCTGTTGGAATACACCGAAGTAAAATAAGTGTCTTGATTAAAAAAAACATATTAACAATTAAACCAAGATTAGACCAATGTTAGAATACACAATATTTCTTGAGTGTCGAGAGGCCCATTAAATACCACACCAATGTACCCATTAGGGGGGGGGGGGGGGGGCCAATGGCATAAAATGGCATAAAATGGCATAAAATGGAGACTTTTTCTATGGAGAAAATGGAAAAACCCATGAGTAATTCTCCATTTTCTCCATTTTATGCCATGAATTTTGTCTTCGAAATTTCATCTTTAACACCATTTAACACCTAAATTGGACATCCTAACATGTTTATTTACGCTTACTAGGGGCGTAACAAGCTTATGAAAGCTCATAGTAGGCTACTAGATGCTTATACTAGGTTAGTAGAGGCACACTTCAGGCAAACTCATAATTACTCAAGTCTAGTGTAAAGTTATTTCTACAGGCTACAGCAGGAGTGAGTAATAGGGGAGAGTAATAGGCACTGAGAAGTGAGACCTACATCCTCGACAGTCGAAACAAGCTCGCACTGCAAAGGGGAGGCCTGCCTTCCGAGATCGCATTACCAGGGGGAAGCCTCGAGTCCAAATTTGTGTATCGAGGGGTAGGTGCAGACTTCGATAAACCGAAAAACCAAAAAAATATTTTCGGCTTATAATGAAGAGGGTAGCATGAAACGTGGAGAAAAGTGGTTTTTAGAAAAACTTTGAAAAATTTTGACTTAGAAAATTTTCGGCCCGAGTCATTCTCGATACGTACCTCTCGTATCGAGAGCTCCCGATTCCGAGCTCGTGTTGCAAAGGGGAGGCCTGCCTTCCGAGATCGCATTACCAGGGGGAAGCCTCGAGTTCAAAACTGTGTACCGAGGGGTAATTTCTAAGTCAAGGTTTTTCTGAAAAACACTTTTCTCCACGTTTCATGCTACCTTGTTCATTTTAAGCCGAAAATATTTTTTCGGTCAAAATTTTTCAAATTTTTTCTGAAAACCGCTTTTCTCCACGTTTCATGATACTCTGTTCATTATTGGCCGAAAATATTTTATCGGTTTTTCGAAGTCCACACCTTCCCCTCGATACACAATTTTGGACTCGAGGTAATGCGATCTCGGAAGGCAGGCCTCCCCTTTGCAACACGAGCTCGGAATCGGGAGCTCTCGATACGGGAGGTACGTATCGAAAATGACTCGGACCGAACATTTTCTAAGTCAGCATTTTTCAAAGTTTTTCTGAAAACCACTTTTCTCCATGTTTCATGATACTCTGTTCATTATTGGCCGAAAATATCTTTTTTTAAAATAATTTTTCTCGAAATTCTAAATTTTTCAGGTTTTCAATGGCATAAAATGGCATAAAATGGAGACTATTTCTATGGAGAAAATGGAAAAACCTATGAGTAATTCTCCATTTTCTCCATTTATGCCATTGGCCCCCCCCCCACCCATTATTCATTTTGTTTTAGTTCAACTAAAAGTAAATTATTCATATTCTCAATTTTAAGTACATTTTTCGCAATATTTTAACTCCCTAAGAGTTTGTCCATTGTTAATGGACTAACCCGACGCACGCTAAACTGAATTCTGTTGACCAACTGTTCAAATTAGGCACACACTAATTTTCCCTGCCTACTGTCCACACCCCCCCCCCGTCAGCATTTCAATACCCCTCGCTAGCTAACGGGACTCATGAGGGGGGTTAGTATTAAGTAAGGTGGTTAAAAAGTCAAAGGGGGGGGGGGGGGGGGGGTCTGGTAAATGCTGACGTCATTAGGGGGAGGGGGGTCGCTCAATGCTGACAGTTGCTGACAGGGGGGGGGGGGTAAAATTGGCCAAAATCTTGCTGACATCATTTGACGCTCCCTAAGAGTAAGACTGCGTATGATCAAGTCCAGAGAGGTATGTTCAATCAGCAATACGGAATTGTCGACAAACATTAATTTCTACATTAACATAAAGGATGGTGTCTGCTCATTCAAATATTCTGTTCGTGGTAACAAAGCATGAATAAGTAGGAAATTTATGAACAGTGGAACAATATTGACTTTAATCACAAAAGAAACGCTATGCAGTGAAATTTCTCTGATTCTTGGTTATCAGATTGTTTATTGTAGCCTTTAGCATTACGTTTCCTGATATTTCCTGAATTTATATTTCCTAAAAACGAAGGTCTAGTTATAGTGGATGTATTACCTTATTACCAATGGTACATAATAATGAATCCCAATCCCCTTTCCCCATCGGCTTCCTTCTTTTTTCAAGCTTCTTTTTTCTATGTATTCTCTCTTTTGATGCAGCACTGTTGTCATGTTATTTGATGAGAACGAATTAAAACGACATGGCTTTCAGAAATCAAGTTGTGTACGCAAATAAGTTCATTTTAAAACTTCAAACAAGAAATAAAAATGAGTCTACAATGCTAGTTAAATAGTTAAGCAATTAGCACATATGCTGATGTCTGCATACTCCATCAGGGCACTTGACTGTACCACTAGCGCACTCAGGGCACAGGTTACATGTCTTCTTGCAGTACTTCTCAGCAAGAAGGGGACTATCACAGTGCTCGTCCCTGCAGTTATTAGAGTCGTCTTCACAGACATCATCGGGAATAACACTGTCGTCAGGGTTGTAGTCAGTAGCTGTGTCGTCAGCTCCGATATCACTGGAACCAGTTGCTACGAGTTTAGCGTGGCTGCTGTATTTGAAGAGTTCGCAGTTATCGTGGTTTCTGGCATACTTGACGAACCCTTTCTCACCCCAGTGAGACCCCCAAGAGTTCTTGACGAGGACGTAGTTAGCGGTGTATCCAACTCCAGTTACTCCGTGGTTGATGCGCCCTGTGCACGTAGTATCCTTCATGATGCCACCCTTATACTGTTGGAAATGGGTGGTTACTTCGAATGCCATGGACAGAGATCCAGAAGCCAGTGCTACTATGTTGGCTGCTTCGTTAGATCCGATTCTAGTAGAACCATCTATCTTGTATGCAACAGCAGAATTGGGTTTAGAACTAGCCTTGCAGGAACCATCACTAGCGACGTAAGGATAATCCGCTGTCGATGCTTTTACACCACCGTTCCGTGCCGAGTAGGCGTAAGCGTTATCAGGCCAGCCTCCACTGCAACCGCTTTTCCCAGCCGTACTCTCGTACACACAATCCAGGTACTCCTGCTCAGCAAAGTTCCTCAGTCGACCAGAGAGAGCTTTGTAGCGGGTCTCAAGGCCACCAACAGCAGCAAACGTCCAGCAGGAGCCACAAGATCCTTGACTCTTCACTTCAGTCACAGCGCCTTCGTTTACCCAGAGTTTCTCCGAGGGAGCGGAGACGCTAGACAGCATGTTGGGTACATCATCGTTAGGGAGATGGTTAGTCACGTTGAGTCCTAAATATTGCTTCTTCTCGTCCCCGGTCAGAGCTGAGAAGAAGTTCAGCTCGTACTCAGCGCTGTCCTCGAACACTTCGTTTGAGGAGGCAACAAACTCAGCATTCTTCTTGAACAGCCGCAGTCTCATCCTATCTTCTGCTAAAGAGAATTTCAAATCTTGCTTTGATTTGAAGTCTGAATAAAGCTTCAGCGTGGCCTTTGGAGACTTGAGGATGAGTGAGAGAGGATCTTTGTAGGCTGCAGAAGCCACCACCAAGCACAGAACTATGAAAATCTTCATGATGAGTTGTTGAAAGTGATGGAAAGACAGTGGAGCTCTTGTTTTTATACCAGTAGGAGTTACACCGACAGTGGCACAGGTGCAGCTCAGGGGGGGGGGGGTGTGACCCCCGCCAGTCTGACTCTTGAAATTCGTTTCTCACACTTTCACAACTTGATTTCTTTTCTTTCATTATATGAAAATTCGATGAGTACTTTTAGCAGTTGAAAGAATTAGAAATGCGCCCTGAGATCACCACAGAACATGTTAGGTGGATTTGATCATCTTTGACAGAGACTCGTTTGTTTGAAGAGAATGGGCCGAATTGCTGAAAAACTCACTGTAACTTCTTGTATATTAGATTTTGTGTCCCCAGATGTTCTCGGAGAATCTCGAAATGTTTATTTTCTTTTGTTGAATATTTTGTGAAACTGTCTCTAAGTCCAATCTAACCCAGTACATTTAGTAGTTTATTGCGCGGAGGTTAGGAGAGACCGTAGGTGGTCACTGGTCACGAAAAAAGTCTGACAAAACATGGGGGGTACACCTGAGCACAGACTAATAAATATATTACAGACTATCTTAAACTGTTTGTTATATAATATGTAGAGGTGTTGAACACAATAAAACCATTGATTGTCGACTTGTTTGATTTTAGCTCATGAGACAATTTTGGATAATTGATAACTTGAAGATATATACCAAACGTCATCATTATATTATGATGCAAGCTTAATCGAAGTCATCTAGTTAAGAGAAGTAGATAGTATCTTTTCCTACTATTTTTCGACCAATTATTTCATTAAAATCGTTAATATCCGAGTTGAGTTAAACTCGTGAGGTAAGTTTCCAGGGTATGGTAATCGATTTAACGTTTAACTAAAACATCACTAATTTCAACAAATTATTTACAGACATTGTGTCATCTAACGACTAAGATGATATAAGTTGTAGAGCACTGTGCCAGAACAAATTGTAGTTCCATTTTAAATTTTGGTTTTATATCCAGTTTTAAATTGTTAGATCAACGTTTTAACATCATCACTTTGTATCTGCAACTGCATTAATTCTTCGTTTAATTCTTTTGATTTGAAGTTGGAATAAGTATCATGCAAGATTTAGTATTTATGTAATAGGCTTAATATTTGCAGGTATTCAAATGATCTGGAAGACAAATTAAATGCATCCGGATAAATCATTAGTCGACAAAAAATTGCCTTCGCCACGCATCATATAAAATCGTTCAGACTTTGTGCATTATGCATTGCTTGTATAATTTATGCAAGTATAAACATTCTGTGCTAGAAAGATCCGACAATTATTACCGAAAAAAATCTTTCCAATTTGGCTAATTCCAGGTTCTCATATATATCAAGGAGTTTTCTCACAATGATTGCTTTACACTTACATCCATCTATCAAACTTCAAATTGATAGTTGTCTATGTTTGTTAATTCGCTTAAAACCATTTAACGTCCCAACTTCATAAAACATATAGTATGAAAAGCTAGGAAATAAAACACATAAAATGTTATTAGCGATTAGCAGCGTTGCGCTCTGCAATTTAAATCCCATTAACAGGAAATTAAAAGTAGTAGCTTCAATAATCTGCACTTATCTGCAATAAATCCTATCTCTCCCATTACATTTACATTTACATGCAACAAACAAGCTATGTTTCAAACAAGCCATATTTCCAATTTTACTAGAATCTTGTACGTCATGAAGAGGGTGGGTCAACTTAGTCTAATTAGTTAATTGAAATTTTATTATAAAGCGGTCAGAAGATCCTGAATCTATATTATTTCTTTTGATCTGTTTAACTTTAGGGAGATTCTCTTAGAGTCTTAGGATTAATGGCGACTACTAAATGGCTGCTACTTGTTGTGACCATGGTAGCGATTTTCAATATATCTAACGGGAAAAGGTAAGGAATTTATACTTTTGTTAATATTCATTGTTCTGAATGCTGGTGCTGAGGTAAATTATATTTTTTGAGGTAAATTATTTATGTTTCTGGCACGTGACAGTAGTTAGTTAACCGATCAGGTTCCGTATTGACCAATGACCAATCAAAACTCAAATAAATATTATTCACCTCCTCATCAGTATCCATATCTACTATACCCGTTTGTCATATTTTTCATGGAACTCATTTTGTAACGTGAACATTTCGTGATCTAACAGAAATATTTAGTATATCCAGATACCGAAATCCAAGCCTGTCGAGTTCGGAAGAACAACCACAAGACAAGTCGAACACGGAATATGTTTCTCTTCAAAATGAAGAAGAAATAGGTAAACATAGTGAGAGCCTTCAATAAATACGAAATATTCTTATCGCCATTGTCTCGTGATTCAAAAACCAAACAATTTTTTGGTAGATGATTTACGATTTCGCAAACATTTTCGAGCTTAGTCTAGTACCAATTAATTATAAATTTCAGGATCCGATATCAAGGTTATCCCTGGAACACATCCTTGGAGTGGAAAATAGCTCTAACGGACAGCGGTACAACGTTTTTACTCGGAACTTTATTTTATTATAAATTTACTAACTTTGTTATCTTTGTTCTTACTTTGTTAATTAAAAATTGTATGTTTGTCAATGATCTTTCTCTTGTGACCTGTACTGCAGCTGTTTTTAAAATACTTTCGACCATTTGTGACGAAAAAGTAATAAGTCTCTGAATGTGTCAATGCACAATGTTGGCTACATGAAATGACTGACTTAATATTATTGATTTTCGATGGTAATTCTTGATAATAAAGTTAAAACGATTTCTTTTCTATCCTTCTAGTTTTGCTTACCTTTTTTTTGGAAAGTAATCATTCGAAGATCGAATTTACATCGTTACAAAAAAAAATTAACAATTTTTGCTTTTTATTCACTTCCGAATAAAAAAACAAATTTAATCTATAAACTATTCACGTTCGATACCTTATAATACGTGACGACTATAAACGTAATACATCATTAATTTCAAACCTGACAAAACGCGTCCAGCAGTCGTAGTAGTAGATTGTAATAATGAAAACAACCATGATAAGAGCAAATAGTGTCTTCGGACTGGAAAATCCAATGTAGATAGCGTCATAAACTAGCATGAAAATCTGAAAATATCCTGACTGCAAATTTGATAATACATAAACCAAATTTAACTTTATTAATATGAATAGAACTGATATTCATTCTTGAAAGTTGAGCTATTACTATACACTTATACAAGAACAAATAATTCTCGACCTGTAATAAGCAGCAGGAGAAGACCACATAAGTGGTAGCCGCCACATGACAAGATATCCCATAAGAAGAGCAGGGTCGGTGGAAGTAGATCATAAGGTATTTGTCTACAGAGTACTTGATGAAGACAAATGCTAACCCAATCAGCGTTATCAGCGGACAAATTACTCTGAGAAAAGTGCTTTATTAAAGAGCACTTTATAGATTTCATTAGTCTCAAGATAAGGTTTCTATTTTGTTTTATAGTTTAACTTATAACATTGATAGATAAAACAGCTTCATATCTCTCAACATTTAAACAAAAATGGCCTCACCCAAATGAAATGAAGATAGCACTGTACGCCATCAACTTGGCGTAGTTGTACCCGATGTTGAATCTATCTCTCATTCGGACGAATATCTCCCGGTATTCTCGTGACGTTTTATGCTCCAGGTAATAATAAATGTATGATGCTACCCCTGAAGTTATCCAGTTTTAAAGTCAATCAAAGGAGTTTGTCAAAACATTTTATATGCATGAATCGTGTTATATTCCACTCGAATTCATTATCAAAACTTAGTACTAACCCCAAGGATTGAACAGTTCGAAAGCTCGTCCAATAAGCGCAGCTGATAGAAGGATTTTACACATGAATGCAATTCTGTAGGCAGAGAAAACACACGACCAGTTCGAAACTGTGATACATTTCGTGGTTATAGTTAAACTGACAAAAAGTAAAAAATAAACTTTCCATTGTTTCTAACTTGAACGATCAACAGTTCTAAGGGTTCCAAATTACTACTTACTCGAGCACTTTCTGCAGACATAATGCTATCAAGTTGGTTATATTTGTACCTGAACTTTAAAAGATTTCAATACGTTTGGCACACTCACGAAGATCATCAGTGCTGAAATAGCCTCGAAGCAGCGCTGCCAAACTCGTGTAACCAAACGCCGGCATGAATAACTCTGATAGCACCAGGTAGATGAACACCTTCCAGATACACCAGTAATTCCTGTCTGGGAGAAATATACTTTATCTAGTAATACCATTCAGTAGTAAATTTTGTTTCAGCGGCCTTCGAAATTTCAATATCTTGTTGTTGTAAAGTTAGTTTTTTGTGCTGGCCGTGTGCGTTATCAATTTCTAAAATTTGTCGTTAAATAAATTCGTGACTGTAAGAATAAACTAGCGCGTTACATAAAACAATATTTTTTGCCAAAGTCACAAATGCGCGCACTCACTTGTTTTCGTTCGATGTCTCTCAAGCGAGCAAGACAGATTGACTAACTGTGGCAGAATTTGTTCAATAGCCAGTAAGATTAAGATAGTACCAAACTCAGTCCAAAATGTGTTTCCAACCTCTATTATCTAGGATAACGCACAATTCAGGTTAACGAAAATAGTAGTGTACATCATGAATTTATAAATATGATTGACGAAGGACTTTAGAGATAATTGAACATGCAACTACATATCATATTGATAATTGAAATCACTTACATCGACATCGTCTTCGAAGAAAGTCTCGTACAAGAAGAGAAAGACGATAATGGGCGTTGTGAAGAAAAATAACAGTATCAAAACAACTGAAATTATAAAAATGTAAGTGCCTAACTCCTCGAATCTTAACTGTCAATTAAAAAAGGGTGAACATATACACATACATATTGCAGATAATTATATGTCATTTAACTAACTCTAACGGAAGAAGTAAAAGCTATTTACAAGTCCATAGTATGATTTTTGTCATATAATAATGTATTGGAGCCCAACACTAACCTATATTAATGAGTATTGCTCGGAACCACCATTTTGGATTTGATTCAGCGTAATTCTCCCAGTTTATGTCGTAATGAACAGGAGCCTTGGCAATGTTCCAACTCAGACTGGTGCGATGGGGACTTCTACAAACTTCTGTTAGTTTGTGCGTGTTCAGCATTCTGGTGTGATGTAGGAGTAAATTGGAGGCTTATTGAAAACTGTAGGTAAATGAATCAAATGTGTCAGGTAACGTGCAAGATTTATTCCCAGACAATATTTACTCAAGTAAGATTTACTCTCAGATAATATTTATTCTCATATAGATATAAAGATATAGATAAAAGTGGCAGGTAAATAAATCCACCTCTGTACATCAACACGTTCACTCCACACAATGAAGACCTTAGGAACACGTGTTACCCGTCCCAGTTCTTCAATAAACCTCTGATTCAGCTCCAACTTCTCTTGAGTCCAGTATTGTAGTGCTGGTTCCTACGAGGAATAAATTATCAGGGGATTATCAATAGTGAGATCAGAACACATTAAACTGGAGATAAATCCCATTTTAAAATTTCAGAAGAATTGAACGTTAGTTTAAGTGGTGGACGCCCCAAAACTTGAAAATCTACAGGACTTTTCCTTCATAAGATGCCAAAACAAAGTACAAAATAAGCACACCTCAATGACAAGACAACAAAGACAGCCATCATGAGAAACAGTTTCTTTAGTCCTTCCTTCAGCTGCCAGATCTTTGTAACGTAGCTCCATTCTCCCAGCTCTTCTCCTACGGGAGAGTTAAAGACTATTGAAATGGTTTGTTTACATTTGTATCTTGTCTCTTTGAAACGGGCTGGTTACGTTTTGTATTTGAAGGATCTGTTGCCTAAACCTTGAAAGGAAGTCGTTGAATCGTGCTTTACTCTTGTTACGAATCTTGCGTTATAATCTTAGCCTATAACGTTAGAGCAGCCAACAACAAGACACTCATACACTTACATGTCTTGGAGAAGTTTGTAAGCTTGTTCCACGTCGTATACATATTGTATCTCGATAACATCGTCTGCCAGATCTAGATCACTAAAATTGTTATTATCGACAGTTAATATCAACTCACTGCTCTACAGGGAAAATGTTATGTTGATTAGGAGTATTAGTCCGAGACGAAAGGGAAACTCGTTAGCTTTTCGTGTTTAAAGCGATTTCTATAAATGTGGCTATTGGACACATTTTGATGTATTAGAATAGTTTCTAGGACCTTCCCAGGCGGAAATACAAAAAATCATGGAAATTATGAGCTGCGTCAAGCCAAAAACCGTTTTTCGGCCATATTTCCGAAAATAAGCATTCTAAGGTGAATGTTGCTTCATAACTTGTATATAAATATGACTTTTAGCATTAGGCACATTTTACTGTATCGTAAAAGTCTCTACGACCTTCCTGAGCCAAAATACAAAATTCGAGTGACCAAAAAACTCTAGAAAAGGGTGTGGCCGAAAACGCCCGTATGGCATTGAGTACAAAAATGCCATACAGGCCATATGTTTTAAGCATCATCTAAAGAGGTGATAACCGTCGAGAAATCGCTTTTAACACGAAAAACTAAAGAGATGGCCTTTTGAAACGGTTGGGCTCCGACCGATTTGTTATGTAGTATAAGTACATAATATATACTTATATAGTAGGTCAGAATGTAAACGTGACCAAATTGTTCATACCGTAAATATACCATAAGATCAGCTTTATCCCGCATGGTCCCTTGAATAATCACCGCGTGATCTACCTGTAGAGTTCATATATTCTCAATAATTGCAATTATTCACTTGAACTACAACTAGAACTGGTGATCAGACTGAATTTTCAAATCTCAACTCTAAATTAAATTCATTAGAACCTCCATAGGGGCTTCAATAGCAAGTTTAGTTCTGAAGTTCTCCATGATTAGGACTGCAATTATCAGTATGATAGGAGCTGCGAGTGTTGGCGCCCACAACCACTCCGAACTGAAGAATAAAACAAAATTATTAAAATTTAATTCCGCGATAACTCTAGTCTCCTACTAGTCTGCAGACTGCTTTTGCCAAAAACGCAAATAGGTCAAGTGTAGGATTGCTATAGGGAACGGTGCTTGCTTTAACTGATGTGTGTTAGACAAACTGAAGCTATACAATTTACAGATGATGAGATCTCTCATCTCAGTACCAGACCTAATGAAAACTCGCCGGAATTCAACCTTCGTTGTCAGCTTGGAAGTTTGTTGACCATCAAATAACCAGGCCGAATAACAACTGCAACTGTTGTTTTGTTACCTGTGATGCGGCATTGTGTAATCCAAACATGGCTTTGGGACTCAAGACAAAAGAAAATCGCGATACTTTAGTTCAAAAATCGCGGCGCCGCTAGAAGGACAAAAGAAAATCGCGATAATTTAGACCAAAAATCGCGGCGCTGCGACAAGCCAAAATAAGTAAAATTGCGGCAAAATCGCGGGGGAAACCTCGAAAATCGAGGCGAAAGATAATATTTTTGCAGAGCTAAGTTAGATGTCATATGATATTGATTAACTATTCAATTTTATCGGCTCATGCCCCATGATGATTGATGATGTGATCTCAAATCATATCATCCGACACAGTCTAATGGGGATCCATAACAACAAGATATGACGTCATAATCTCAAATTTTGCCAACAATCAACAATTATATATCTACACTTCCCATTATCTGTGTAGAACGTCGCTTTCCCAAATTCAGCCACTCTAACAAAAGCAGTCATATTGCCCTGTTTTGAAACGGCCGACCGTCTAATATACAAAGGTCTCGGCGATTTGTCCGCGGGACGTTTTAGAAAGCGGTCCATTGTTCAGTACTAATAGTTCAATAACAAGCAAAACACAAATCAATAACTATAGATCTGACGACGTTTGTGAGAAGTATCTGATAAATGACAATCAATAATAACACTGATATCATCTACTGCACAATTTCATAATCCATAGATGAGGATTCTCGTGAGGACAAGGTAGGTGAGGTACATTTGTTTAATTTATAGTAAGTACCTGTTCAGCAGAAGAGAGAGGTGATGCACATTTGTCTACTTTTAAGGGTTAGTACCTGTTCAGCAGAAGAAAGAAGTGATGCACATTTTGTATTATGGAACGCTTCTAACGCTTGTAACTCCTTCTTTTTACCCCCCCCCCCTCCCTATGAAGGTCCCGAATTATGGTCAAGTCCATGTCTAGTGGCCAAGTTTTATATGTCTAGTGGTCTGGTCAACTTTATGAAGTTTCTGCTAAAAACAACTCACTACTTTGGAACATTGTATCCAGAGAGATCCATCAGATAGATTATAGAACCATCACACCCGTCTCTTTAATAATTTTCTCTGGAGTTTTACTTCTTAATTAACTTCTTAACTTCTTAGCTTCTTAGCTTCTTAGCTTCTTAACTTCTTAACTTCTTAACTTCTTAACTTCTTAACTTCTTAACTTCTTAACTTCTTAACTTCTTAACTTCTTAACTTCTTTTAACTTCTTTTAACTTCTTTTAACTTCTTAACTTCTTAACTTCTTAACTTCTTAACTTCTTTTAATTTCTTTTAACTTCTTTTAACTTCTTTTAACTTCTTAATTTCTTAACTTCTTAACTTCTTCTGATGCTAGATAGAGCGGTAAAGTAAGTATGCGTGTTTCTGGCTTGCCCCATATCATAACCGTTTATACACAGTTAGGGGTCGTTCTCATATTACGTAATCAAACAGCAAAATGAGCCGAAAAAAATATGAGCCAATATCATTATTATGATATCCGGCCAAGCACCTTCCTAACTATTTACTTTAACAGCCGGATGCCGGGTACCCGATCCATTCCTAAATTTTATCACTATCAGAGTGAAATTGAGTGGAATTTGAATTGTTCATCTTCTTGTACAATTCCTTAAGTGGGGTAAGTCATATCAGATCTCGAATCTCGATCCCTACATACTTCCAAGATTTAAATCTCCAGCTTTAAAGTTGGAAAATCAAAGTATGCAACGTCGATACCAAACCGATTATTGAGCAATGCCCAATGGTAGGTAAGTAGTTGATTCCTGGGTTGCAGATTCCTCCTGATTCCTCAGTATTTGAATGTGGTTTTTGTTCTTGTTCAGTTCTGTCCATATTTCCTCGAGTTATTTATTATTTATTAAGCTTTATCAGAACTCAAATAATTATTTACACTTCTCAATTTAAACTCACTTCTCAATTTAAACTCACTTCTCATTTTAAACTCACTTCTCAATTTAAAACCACTTCTCAATTTAAACTCACTTCTCAATTTAAACACACTTCTCAATTTAAACTCACTTCTCAATTTAAACACACTTCTCAATTTAAACACACTCCTCAATTTAAACTCACTTCTCAATTTAAACACACTTCTCAATTTAAACACACTTCTCAATTTAAACTCACTTCTCAATTTAAACACACTTCTCAATTTAAACTTTCATTTCGCCACCTTTTCCTAAGCTCTCTTATCTTTTTTAGATTACACCTTTATTTCAACTTTTTATAACGGTTTTTTCAATCATGTACGATAAGGCTTATCCAAGATAATTTTTATCCGTTAAAGTTGTGACGTTTTTACCCGTTTTTCTAGAACTTTCCTAACGTCTATGCTATTCATAGTTTAACACGTACATATTATTTACCACGTGATAAGGTTTTACCGGTTACACTTTAGCTGTGCCCATATTTAACGGTTATGTCGAGTATTCTAGGGTACTTTTCTGGTTCTCCTCCACAGCAATCGGATAATAAAAGGACCTTAGATGATGTAAGTGCCAGTAGTTCACCTTCTGACAAGGATACCAAACGTCCAAATTTAAACGTTTCAGGCTCTCCAACTAAGTCCGAAGAGCAGTTGATGGTAACGCTAATAGAAAATCTCTTCGTTAATTTTTCTAATCAGACTGTTGCCAGACTGGATGCGATCTCCATTAAACTAAAAAGCTTCGATTCTAGATTAAATACAATCTCGTTAAAACTTGATTCGTTTGATACCCGAATGTCTTGTATCGAGGAGAGAGCGGGGTCCCATCAGCTCGAAACCACAGATTTGTCAGACCGTTTCGTTGCCTTGGAAAACTTAAATGTTGAGTTTGAGGCGAAAATAGTAACTCTCTCAGGGTCAAACTCAGCTAACTTAGAGTCAGGATGGGAGCCAGTAGGTTCTCCTGAGACCAAAATAGCCTTACTTGGTGATTCTAATTCGGGGGGGAAAATCAAATTCGGACAGGGAAAAGGGACTTTAGGGGCCGCCCTACCTGGATCTGATACATTTGTAGCCACGGTCGAGGATTTACCAGAGCCGGAAACATATAATGGCATTTCTGATCTTATTTTAGCAGTAGGCACTAACAACTTAAAATTAGATTCTTGTATCCCGGAAGATTTGGTCAAATCTACTTTCACCTACATAAGCAAAGTCAGAAAAGCACATCCTTCGTGCCACGTCTTTTGTCCGGGGGTTCTCCCATCTACCTCCACTGTAATCAATACCAGAATCACAAAATACAACTTTTATTTGAACGATATGTGCCAATATTTACCGAATGCATCATACGTAGATATGAAAACATTCCAAAGCAACAACGGCAAGCTGCTACCGAAATTCTCAGTAGGGAATTCGGACTCTTTTCATCTTAACGAAGCCGGGTTGAAGGTTTATTTTAGCCGACTTAAATTTTCCCTTAGGGCCAGACATGGCCTCCCTAATATCAAAAGGGCTCAACGTAGGCAAAACGATCCTTCAGCAAGCTCTGGTAACCATTCGTAACTGTTATATAGCCTTTTTTTTATTAGTTGATAAACTTTTAGTATATTATCACTCTAGCGTGTTTTCACTGTATTGTACTGTATTATCTCGTACGATTTTCGAGAGACCCCTTCATGTTTTAACACTTAACTCACGCATAGCAAGTATGCAGCGTGTGCCTATTCTTCAAGTAGTGGTTCACGGGGTTTCGTGGGGTGGGAGCTACGTGGTAGGGCTTAAGCCTTAAGGGCTCTTATCTTCAACTTCTTATCTGTTATTCAGCGTGCGTATCTCCTCATATTATTGTATCCGCTAGTTTTTATAATAGTGTATCCGTCAGCCTGATTCTATTGAATTTATTATTGATTGGCTTGCTCCGTGCAGTCGTTTTCCAGTTAAGGTAACTTAGTATTTATAAAAATATCCCCTCTCATTATAACACCTGTATATTACCGACGTCGAGAGACCAGTTTTTTGTCCACGTGAGTTACCTCTTTATCACCTTCACCTATTTATTATGTTTTATAGGTATTTTAAAAGGGTCTGTTTGACTCGTACTGATTTTTTTGTACAGTGCATTATTCATTATTCAAAAGTTTTTAAAAAATCTTTATAAAGGCTATGCCAACAAACATACAAAAAAACTCTTGCTCGGTGTATAACCGGTATCTATAAACATTATGATATAGTTGTTATCATTCTCATTTTGTTCTAGATTTTCTGATCTTCTATCTGCTACAGTTTCGGGTAAACTGTCACAACTTCTCCTTGCGACGCGTTCACTCATGTTTCCTAGATACAGTGTGTTTCTCACCTTGCTACCTCGTCACTTCGATTATTGGTATTACTATTTTTCCGATAATAACTGTTATGATAAGGGCGGGGCCAGTGTAGGCTGTAGTACAAGCAGGCTGTATTATTGTAGAAATTATTTTTCTACGATCGTTTTTCGTGTTTCTATGTCGTGTGTGCATGTTTTTTGTGTTATTTCCATTGTATATACTCATTTTTTCACGACACCATCACCCTCATTTCTGGGGTTTAATTCAGGGGGGGGGGGGGGGGGTAAAAAGCTACACTAAGGAAGGGCGGGGCCATTTTCAGATTAACAATGACTCCGCAAAATAACAGCAATAGTGGGTTGGCATGCCCAAAAATCGGTTCTTTTAATTGCAATGGCATGGGTAACCCGATTAAACGT